CCACATTTTAAAACGTTTTTATCACACTCTCATTTTGGAGGTATTAAACCCTTTTTTCACTTTGATAATTGACAGTTGACAGTTGACAGTTGACAGTTCAAGGCAAGATACACATATGTTTTAGAATACAGACTAAAACCAGTTTATGTTATATAATGTTTAATGACTTATTGATTTCCAAAAACCCATTGGTAGCCCGCCAATTTTCAATTACTAAAAGTTAAAATCATATTTAAAATGGTATTCCGATAAAACTATTTATATATTATTCTGATATATTTTTATTTAAATTATCTTTTAACAAACTATAAAATAGATCTTTGTTAAATAATCATAACATATTTTTATTGTAAATATTTAAAATGTAAATAAAATTTCAATTTGTTATTGCTTCTGATATGCGAATATAATAACAAAATATATTCTTAATATTAAATAAAATGAACAACGGTTTATCTGTAACTTCCGATAGCAACTACTTTAATAAAGAGCTCTCGAATCCAATGTCGGTATAATAATAATAATAATCCAGGGGCGCTACAACCTTATATGGATCTTAGCCTGTAATTGTATCCGTTGCTTTGATAATTTTTATTTTTTAGACAAAGTCATCAGCCTTCAGTGTCTGACTCATTAATTTGTTGGCTCTCTCTGGTTTCATGATCGTTTGTCAATGTAATAGCCAAGAGGGTGATCAGCCTCTTGTACCTGACAAACGTTGACGTGTTATTTGGTATCTTCACGATTTTTTCGTCCATCGTTCGAGCGAATTTCAAATGTTTACATAGAAAGAAAGTCGCACATAGGGATAAAAGTCGCACGCTGAAGCCAACACGGCTCTTAGTATTTACTTAGTATAAAAGCATTTATCGTATGCATACTCCTGTGCCTGACTATAAAGTGTTTAATTCGCACATAGAAAGAGCATTGATTTTAACGCACAACTTCAGTAATGACGTTCATGTTGATGAATCGAACGCTGAAGACCAACACTGTTCTCCAATATCATTATAGTTACTTAAATTTATCACGGATATCGAACTCGCTACCGCCATTGGAAGTTACAAAATACAAGGTTAAATTGACGACATGACTTACTTATTGTCGATAAGTGATATAATAATAATATTTTAAGCCAAAAGGAAGCCCTCGCGTCTTAAGCTTTTTCTGGTTCTAACCATTTTCTACCACTAAACACGTCTATGTAAAATATTATCATTACATACCTATTAAAATAAATAGTCACGAACTTATACGAGATATAGGTCGATTCTCAAACTAATTTCTAATCGAATCTAGCGTTTATTCGCTGTATTGGGATTTACGGAAACTTATAATGTGAATTTTAAAATTATATATCGTCGCTCAAAACCCCCCTTATTAGATTTATTACACAGAGAATTAAACAGAAAGAAAGTGTTCTATTATTTCTAATAGAACACTTTCTTGGAATTAAAGATTATTTTCCCTTATTCTTTTAAGAAATACTTTATAAAACTGTTTTCACTTTATAACGGCGTTAGACTGTTTATTTTTATTATACAATATTTGCGTTTTATTACTATTATTTTAATTTATAGAATCAACAACTGAAAGCTAACGCACACAACTGACTAGAATCTTGACTAAAGGTTCTTGCTCGCCCCGGCTAAGGGTGTAGCCGCCATTATGATGACAATATTTTCATTTAAATGAATCCTATCGAAGTTAAGACGAAAAAAGCGGCGCTACAACCTTTTTTAGGTCTGGGCCCCAGATTTCTGTATCTGTTTCATGATCATTTGTCAATCTAATAGGCAAGAGCAGCCGCCTGACACACGCCGTCGACTTTTTGGGTCGCTGAAGCCAATAGGCCAACACTCGGATAATCGGATACTAAATTCTGCATATAAGTTCGTGAAAGAGATACATGTTTATTAATAATATTGAAACAATAAATGACAATACTTTTACGTATTGAACCACGGAATATTGTACAAGGACCAGTGTCGCATTGACGTATTCATATTATGCAAAATTTGGTTTTGCGGCATGATCATAGTCCCCGTACTTATCCATTCCATGTTAGGGACGACATTTCTATAATATATATTATAATTTGCCTATAACACTTTTCAATTCCATACAAAAGAAGATTTTATTTATCTAACTTACAACTTAATTTTTTTTCGCAAAATTTGCCATATACAAATATTATATGTGCGTTTATTCGTATGTACACAGAATTTATAGATCTAATAAAATAAGATTTGAATTTAATTCTGATTTATTTTTCTATAGATATATTTGTCACACAACAGTATTTCATTGAAAACATATATATTATATATTTGTCGGCGAATAGGCCTGAAAATGAATACATTAGCTACAGCATCAACATTTATTTAACGCAAAGAGATTTCAATGTTTTGTTAGTGGGCATACAAAAAGAGATACAACTATCAAAAATGTATGACTCTCTCTCTTCTCTTTAAACATTATATTTTACATTTTCGTCAACAATTTAACATATTTACCCTTTTGTTAACATACAACTAATATAAGTAAGCTATGACACACGCAGTCCTAATCTATTGTTAACATTACACATTGAACCCTAGTGAACTTTTGGCCAATTCATTATTCCTTCGGAAGACCGTCAAAAATTATAAGTAACTTATATAGATTTGCTACTGGCCGATATTTGTAAAACGTAACAGATACAAAATTTAAATAATGCCTATTTTATTTACAATCAGAAAGCCAACAATGGTGGACTAAGTGAGATTTTATTCAAATAAGATTAATTAATTATTGGTCAATAGATTTAAATATGTAACTTTCAAGTTTCAAGATTCAAAGCCTTTATTTCAACTAATACAAGAGAACAAAATATAAATGTATATAAAAAAAGTTCAACAAGCACAGCTGTCCTCTTGTACAGCTTGCCTTTGTGGCACAAAGGCTGGCTGGCAGCTGGAGGAGCAGCTGTTTCCATTGCTTCCTATCCCTGGCAAGTCTTTGCCACAGAGGACCAGTGGCTTTTTTAAAGTCGTCAGCCCACCGGGCACATGGTCTTCCTCTGTATGTAACTTAACCTCTTCTAAATGTAAGGTAGAGGTCACAAGTGTAAAAAATCAGTAGATATTTTGAGTTTCAATTAAAGGCCATAATAGGTGTATTTGAATTTTAAGTGAGGAAAAACTTTATATAGTAATTAAATTTATGGTGTTACAATTCATGTGAAATAAGCAAAGAAGGAACATTTTACTTCTAAGAATAGACAGGCTATATTTGCATAGCTGACAATGACGCAGGCTCGACGCATCTATAAATAACCTCTTTATATCTAAAATATTAATTCCTAATAAAAATAATTCGAATATCGGATTATAAGTCGGAAATAAAAAAAATTGCGATCTTTTGTCTATTTTCACGCGTTTTAAAAAACCTTTTAAGCTTACGATAAAAAGGCTTTTTATGAACAAGTAGATATAAAGAGACGAAAAGTTATGCAGTAAACACCTTTAGTATGTTTTAGAAATTAAACATTATGTGCAATTTTATATGAAATTCTTTTCTAATGGAAAGAAGAAGCTACTCTATACAAAAAATGTACTTTACTCGCCATTACGTTTATAAATGACGTTCTTTAGCATAATAATAACATAATATTTTCAAACAACTAAATTTAAAACCGCTTAGAGCAGTCGGTATGGGCTGCAACATGCGGTCCGTCTATGGCCAGCGTTACGCCAGTCATTAAAACGAATTAAAGGTCAATTTATCCCAACTCCAATTCAATCCATCAACTCGAACACGCAATCATTATGTCCTGGGTACAGGTAGTTTACAAGACTCAGCAATCGCTTTAGCGGAATATGGGAACCTAAGGACATTTTTTCTCATAGAGCAGCTTCAAAGAAGTCGTTAATCGTGTAATAGGCAAATGTTTGATAATACGATTTGTATAACAACCTTATCTTGATACATAAAGAAAATGCTTATTATAAATTCTTTATCCATTTATTTGAACACTTTCTTATACACTTAACTTAATACTATGCTTGCACACACTCTAAGCGTCTTTGTTGTACAATCAGCTCTTAACTGTGTTTAATTTTGAAAGAATATTATTTAAATGGCTTGTAAAGTAATTATATAATAATTAAAGTTCATTCACCAAAGATCGACACATTAATTAAAAGTTATAAATGCAGTTGTACTGTAATAATAAGTAGGCAGAGCCGATTGTACATAACTTAGTTACTACGAACACACTTCTAAATATTTATATTTAGATTGTACTAAGTGTTTTCTTTTATCGTATAATTCTCTTCCCCAAATAGAGATAATTGAAAGAAAATGATTTGGTTAAAAAAATTAGATCCGGCTCGGAGGACCATACACTAAGTTGGTTTCGTCACCGTAGATACTGATATCAAATTCAAAAACACGTATCTGCGATACGATACGGGTTGAGATTAAATTATTTAAATTGGTAGTTTCCAAAATCAGTTCCGGCCCGGAGGACCATACACTAAGATGGTTCTATCTCGGTAGATACGGATATTAAAATCGATAGTAAGTACGTGCAATATGATACTAATAAAAGGATACTCATTTTCAAGTTGCTAATTCCTTCGGCTTCCTTGACTGTGAAATACATTTTACAATATAAGTTACTTTAAGTTAACTAACCGTAAATATAAAAAAAACAGAGTTTTTCTCAATTTTTTATATAGATTGATGTTTGAAGAAAAAATACTTTCTTCATCCTTAACCTGAAACTGAGCCTTTTTTTAAAAAAAACAAACACAATATTAGTATGTTCTTAAAGAAACCACTCAGTCCAATCATCTACACACCAACGTATACTCAGCAAAGCATTATAAAACACATCACTGTTCGCACTGAACGAGCTATATGAGAGTTTCTTTACCCCCCAGTTGTGACAGCTCCCTGTGGGGATATGGGGACGGTCCCCCGGGGGGCAGATCTCTTTTAGGTTTTTCTGCATACTAGTTTTTCGACGTCAGTATTGTCACAAATTCTGAAAAAAAGAATCTTGTGTATTGTAAAATTTGGTAAAAATAAAATTTTGTAGAAAATTAAAGAAAAAATAAGGAAACATGAAAAACCATCTATTTCATATACCAGGTACCTATAATTAAATTATTATTGTGTTTGTTTGAGAGGTCTTAAGGACCTATCCGGTCACCAAACTCCAAAAAAGTACATTGTTTCTTTCAATTTTTCGTCATCGTTTCTTGATGTGGGGCGAATGGAAAAAATATATGGTGGAGTTGAGTAGTTTATGTATCCATTTTGAAAGATCGATACACGATTTAAATCACTTCGCTCGATAGAAAAAAAATCCAAACATTTTTGACACTTTGTATTCATTTTATGACGAAAATGTATATAGAACATGATTTTAAAATTTACACGATATATTTTATCGTAAGCCAAGTAATCCATTTCAAAAAAAAGATTGATAAAATTACATTAATTTAATGTTTTACATAACTAATTGTTATTACGGGCCGGCGCGCCTCAGTGCTACAGCTCTCCACTGCGCACTGCAGTCCACCCCGAGACACTAACACAGCAATTCGTGCTGGGATAGGGCCTTAAGGTTATCATTCATTCACATTTCTATATCCATTTCGAAATAATTTCTTTCCCTATCAAACAAAATTCGGGGAATAGCTTTCTGTGACACGCCGTTGACTTTTTGGGGTCTAACGCATGCCACTTTCCACACGATGTTTTCCTTCACCAAACCAGCGAATGTAAGATCCCTCGACATTCACGGATAAAAGGCAGGCATACCCTGTACTAATAATAATAGTTAATGACACATAGGAATGGGTTCCAGCGCTATAGGGTCTACTTGACTTACCATCGTAATTGACCATGCCGTCTCCGTCAAGGTCTGCTTCACGGATCATGTCATCCACCTCTTCTTCACTCAGTCGTTCACCAAGGTTCGTCATTACATGCCGCAGCTCCACTGAAGATATCAACCCGTCGTTATTCTTGTCGAATACTCTGAAATATTATTTAATACATGGCTTAGAATACAAATCTGTACAATATAATTAATTGATATCATTTGTCGCACATAAAACGAACATAAATCATTTGGTGACCTATTTCCAAAATAGATCTTCATGAAGGAAACGAAATGTTCGAAAGCTGTTATAATTTTTTAAACATAATAGGGGGGCAAACGAGCCTACGGGACACCAAAAAGGGGCAGTCATCACAGCCCATCGGCACCCATTTTTAGTCGGTGCGTTGCCGGCCTTTGCGGGAGAAGTACACTCTTACTTTGAATAGTTGGAGGTCGTATCTTTCATAAAAGAAGACCCCCACCGATTCCACAGTTCACTAGTTCGTAAAATAAAATGTCTTGTGAAACGGACCGTAGAAGTCTTCCAGCCAACAAGGTGATGGTGATGTTTTTTTTTAAATTGATACGGTTCGTACGGAAACGTAACGTAACGTGTATAAAATGCAAAGCGATGTCTCTTTGCGTTTTATACAAAGAGAGAGAGAATCAAGCGGGTCAGTAATACATTGGAGATTGACAATTCGACAAGCCCATCGCTGAATTTAGCCAAAAGGAAAGAGCTGGTATTTTTTAACAGCCCAGAGATGTGAGCTTGTAGAGCTGCATACGTTGTACCTCAGTGAAGTATTTCTTAATTTTCACTTATAATACCACAAGAGCTTCAAAATTATCGGGTATTTCCCGATAGGTTCGTTGCAAACAAATGAAGGAGTCAAGTTTTTCAGAAAAACTTGACGACTTTATTTGTTTGCAGGGAACCTTGAGGGAAATGCCAGATAATTTTGAAGCTCGTGTGGTATTCGGGGGATTATTTTTCCGACCCAAATGTCGGCCAATAGAATTGCACCATGAGACGAAATGTACAGTTAACAAATAAGAATTTCATAATGAATAAAACAACTACTTAATACTTTTCTTGAAGCAACTACCAGAGAAAATTTTCAAAAAATTATCAGTATAATACCATGTAGGTTGTACCACGTGACGTCGAATGGTGCAATTCTATTGGTCGATATTTGGGTCGGAAAAATAATCACTCGTAAATACGTGTGAAAATAAAGACAATTCAATTTACTTCTTTCTTCTTCATTCACCACTGTATAACATTAATTGAAATTCATTTATTCTTTTTCGATAAACCATTTATTTATGAGCAGAATTCAAACGATCATACCTAAATGCTTCTCTAAGCTCGTCTTCACCATCTGCCCCTCGCATCTTCTTGGACATCATCTGAAGGAATTCGTTGAACTCAATAGTTCCGTTGCCATCTTGGTCCACTTCTTTTACCATATCTCTTAGCTCAGTCTCTGAAAAATTTAGATCTTTATAAGTTCATAAAGTATGAACATTATGTTCAATTATTAATTACTATTAATTTACATTATACATATATACATGTAGGCTGGAAATGGTTCCCCTAGGTGGTAGCGTAACCTACATATAAAAATTAAACTATAAACACTATTAAAAATTACGCTAGCCAAATTGGATTTCGAATCTTCAGAGGCCTTACTACGTATTTTGGCACGACTTCGAGGTTCCAAAAACTAACACAAGCACAGCGCACGATCATAACAACTCTCAGCTACACTCTTAATTAGATGTGCATACGCACCCACACACTCGCACATTCACTGATACTTAATGTCTATAAGATATAGTTGTAACACTAAAATTACTTTGTTGTAACTGTTTTAAACATGTACCACGGAATAACGGTTACACACAACACAGGGTATCCCAAGTGTATTAGCGATATAAGAATTTTGTCACAAGTATTTTTTATTATTATTACAAATATAGACAGTCTGACCTCACTGTATAATATTGATAAGGGAGCTGTTAGATTCATAAATTTACGGTTTTAGGATTAAGTTACTCTAAGCTTTGCATTGTATTATATTCGTTTTAAATATATCGTATCAATAATAGTATCACGTATTTAAAAAACCTATTAGTATAATTATTTTTATAATTTAGCCTTATTGTATTTTGGTAAGAACGAAGTGGAAATCGTAAAGATATTTAAGACGTAACGTATAAAAAAAATTAGAAGACTTATGGAGCAGCAGTGTTGGCCCATTGTGGAGGAGACCAAGTAATGGGTTAGGGCGCCTAGAGGTGTTGTTGGCCTACTGACTTGGTGCGACTCTTATCTCTGGGGTCGTAGGTTGCACCCCGGCTGTACACCAATGATTTTTCCTGTCTATGTGTGTATTTAACAGTCGCTCGTATGGAGAAGGAAAGAATCGCGAGGAATTCAAATATTTTAACGAGAATATTCTATAAGTATGGAGAGAGATTTTTTCTATATGCCTTTATACATAACAAATAACTAGTCTGACCATAAATACTGTTTCATAAAAACTTCTTTTATTTTTCAACTTTTTAATTATTTTGACTTTGGAACAATGTGGCTAGACTAAATATGTCATATATCAGATTACCAAATATAATTATATATACCTGGTATGAAGTAATTGCATTTATTTTAGAGGTATTTAGTTAAACAAAGATATAAATGCTTAAATAATAAAATCAGTGACGCTTCAAACTCATGGTCTTGGATTTCTGTATTGAAATCATTTCTTTCTCTAACCGACAAAATTAAGCAGCCTTCTGTGACACTCCATCGACTGTTTGGTTTTAAAGCATGCCGGTTTCCTCGCGATGCTTTCCTTCGCCATACAAACGATAAATATAAGAAATGCATGCACTGAAGTAGAAACATTTATTTTAAATTAAAGAACCAACATTTTTAAATTTTAATCCCAATCTGCGATAAACTGAGCCAAAAGTACATATCACCAAAAACTTTATCATACACGTTCCAAACTAAAACTAGGCAAAAGTTTTTCTATTTCAAAAGTGTTTGAAATTTCGTTCACACCGAGAATTTAATATTGAACGCTATCTTCATCCGATTTTTATTTCCTACTTTAATCCCACGACTAAGCTGTTGAAATGAAGGGATCATTTTATATTGGTCGTGTAAGAGTGGGTTTTCGTCTATTTATGTCGGGGCCTCAGATTTCTGAATCTGTTTCAAGATCATTTGTCAATCTAATAGCCAAGTAGGTGATCAGCCTCCTGTACCTGTCACACGCCGTCGACTTTTTTGGCTTCACTCAAGCCTTACGATGTTTTAATTCACGATTAAAACGAAACGATGACGAAAAATGGAAAGAAACAATGTACTTTTTTGGAGTTTGGCGACCAGATAAGTCCTTAATGGACGAAATCCACTTTCTTGCAACGTCTTAAACCTCTAAGAACTGAAATGCTCATTAAACAAGATATGAGGTGAGCTATGCTGGATATTGTTGCACAGTTTATGAAGAGACAGCATCCAACAGATCAGATATTTAGTAAGTTTATATGGAATGACGACTCTTTGTTGGACTTACTGATTCTGGACATAATACAGGATCTTATAATTAAAGTGTTTTCAGGTGAGTATAATAATATGATATGATAAGAGCAGTGTTGGCCTAGTGGCTTCAGCATGCGACTCACATCCCTGAGGTCGTAGGTTCGGTACCCGGCTGTGCACCAATGGACTTTTTGTCTATGTGCACATTTAACATTCGCTTGAACGGTGAAGGAAAACATCGTGAGAAAACCGACATGTCTTAGACCCAAAAAGTCGACGGCGTGTGTCAGGCACTGGAGGCTGACCACTTACTTGCTTGCCTACTTATTAGATTGAAAAATGATCATGAAACAGATTCAGAAATCTGAGGCGCAGACCTAAAGAGGTTGTAGCGCCACTGATTTATTTATAATAATATGATAGATCTAGACAATATCACTTTCCCCACTTTGAAAATTTTCATTTCCACGTTGAAGTCGGATTAAAGTAGTAAGCTTTGGGAATGAATGGACCGCGTTACATTGGTCGTTTCTCAGTAAAAATTCATGGATCACATTCATCGCTGGTCGAAAACTGAAACATCTATTACAAACCGTATTCATTTATTCACCGTATCAGTTCCAATTCCTTTAAACCTGATAATATATTTGTATAGTATAATTGAAGACTTAGGGGTGAATAAAGTATTCTTAAAAAAGGATGAAACCATTTATATTGTAAAAATTGTCGGTAAAAACGTAAGCTTTAGGTCGGCAAACTCGCTTTCACTTGCTTGTTTTTACATTGTATTTTTAATATATAAGTTTATTTCATTTAACTTTTTATTAATTTACCTGATAAAGCCTATATTCCCCTTATTAAAAAACTAAATAAATTTAACCTGCGCTTTCTCTTTCGTCTCTTTCTGTCAAATTAAATTTACGCTGTGATAAACAGAGACAGCTGAATACATTGTGAAAACTGTGGATTGAAGACTGATTTTATATTAAAAATGAATACCTATACAAATTTTATTTGACGCTAAAATAATTTTGTAATTAAAATTTATCTTTACAATTAATGGCGCAATGACAATATTTTGATATTACATTTAAAGCAGTTTTCCAGGTATTTCAATTAACACAGGTAAATATTTTGCGTACTCTATACAAACTATTAAATATTTATTAGTAATCATAACAATCAAGTATACTGTATACATTTACAATTTTCTTAACCTACATAGTAATAATAAAAATAATTAAAAAATAATAAAAAGAAATCAAAAACAAATTTAAAAAGTTTGCTCCCTGTGGCAGTGTAGGTACCTTTAACGCTGGCAGCATTTCCTCGCTGTATTGCGATACTTATTCTTTGAGCCAGGAAAGCACCAGCTCTGGGGTCACCGGTACTGTCTACCAGACGCCAATTTAAATCGTTAATAAGCGCCTGTGCACTTGAACCCCATGGCCCAAGAGTCTCTACTCGAAAGGGAACAAAATCGAAGTTGGAGGAAAGACTCTTTTATTTGAGCCGTTTATTATTTTCTGCCTGCTCTGCGGCCACCCCAGCTTTTTTGTTTGTCCGAGGGAGGTAAGACGGTGCAAACGTGCCCATACAAGTAGCATCCCATAGCAAAGCTCGTCCCATCTTTCAAAGGATCAACGACATCAAACATTAAAATAGTTATTTAGATCTAGGAAGTAATAAGTACCCATGAATGTCATGAAAGTGGGTGAAACGGATATATCAGGACCGAAGCAAGTGGAGATGCGTGGTTACAGACCACCGCTTCGGAAGAAAGGCGTGAAAATATAAATTTATATCTTCATGTACATTAAAATAAAATTTAAAAAATACCTGAAGGTCTCTGTCCTAATGACCGCATGACCACCCCAAGTTCAGCCATCGTGATGGTCCCGTCTTCATCCTTATCGAATAACATGAAGGCTTCTTTGAACTCTGGAAAATGAATGACAGATTATAGGTTATATTCGATTTTATAATCGTGTAAATATTATAAATAACCCCGGAATTTTTTGCCGCAATTAACAATAGCTGAAATATCTGCACAGATCTTCATATATTAGAACCATTATCAACTTTCTACAAGTAAACCATCATAATCGGTCCAATTGTTTAAATGACATATGCATGACAAAACAATCTTGGACATCCTCGTTTCTTCTATATCAGTGTTTCAAAACCTTTTTGTGCCATGCCCCATCTTAGCCTATCTAAAATTCTTATGCAACATACATTTTTAACAGTATTTTTGATAGGTTTTAGAGTTTTTTGGTTATTTCGACTGTGTTTGCGTGTTGTTCCCACGAGAATGTAAGTGCGTGCTCCTATTTCACCATGCCTTCTGCTGATAAAGGACAAATCTTTGTTTTTAATTTATGTTATTATTATTAATTACTTAAAATGTCACATGGGACATGGTGTAATGGTTGCAGCCTTACAAACATTTTGTAAAACAAAAAAATGGTGATTAAAAAGAGTGGCGGAAAGTTTATTGCCAGTTCTTCTCTCCCGTTCTACGCCCTTGATTTGAGAACTGGCAGTAAATGTAAAATTAGAAGCATTAATATGTGAAACTACTGACAAGTCATAAGTGTACATTATGTTACCTATATGATTAAATGTTTTTTTACTTTTACTTTACTTTTTACTAGGAACGAAACATAGTAAGTAAATTTTAAACAAACAATCAATGAGGGCGTGGGCCCCACATCGGGAAACACTGGTCAATATTAAATAATGTCACTTAGGTAAACAAATACAAAACATCTTTTGCCATAAAAACATACATAAAACATAAACTTAGTTTATATTTTATTAGTTTTATATTACTAGACTATTCGAATGACACTCTATTTATTATATATTGAATACATAACGTAACAGACATTTATTGCAGTATTTAAATCAATATACACACACATAAATAGGTATAATTTGTGACTGTTTTACATAAATCAATTTCTATTATATTCTGTATAAATGAATACATTATGGTAAAAGTGTATAATTTAATGTATACACACCTGCTACTTGTTCTTCTGTGAGGCCATATTCTGACTGAAAAAGATAATATTATTTGTTTATTCAAATTATAATATATTACGAAACAATAGCGCATTTTGATTATGATTTATCTAAACAAGAGAGGTCGGTGATTACATCAAAGTAACGCTAAGTAATACGCGATATCTAATATTTTTTTCCATTAAATTGTAAGCCGGCACTGGTATTCTATAATAGTGAATGCCATTGCGATTACAATTAGAATATAGTATTGTCTTACAATTAGAATAACAATCAGAATAACTTTACCAAAATCGCATATTAAACCTTCAAAATAGCTGTCGCTACCGCTGGGACGTTCAACAATGAAAGCAATGAAAATTCATTCAACCCTAAGGCTGCTGCCTCGAATTTTGCGGGCAGCGGGGCGGCAGCGGCGGCGGCGCGGGAGCGGGCGATTGCACCTCTCGTTACCCGCCCTCGCGCCGCTGCCACGCCGCTGTTTTCGAAAACCGGTCCATTTGATTTTACGCATAAAATCCTGCCGCCGCCCCGCTGCCCGCAAAATTCGAGGCAGCAGCCTAAATGACAGCCTGCTAAACTATAAACTATAACTATAGCTAGACTATGGACTGGACACCTATGGACTTTCTTTCTGTGTGCGCATTTACTCGTAATATTCGCTCGAACGGTAAAGTAAAATATCGTGAGGCGTGTGTCAGGCACAGGAGGCTGATCAGGTGATCTTGGTGACTTGATTGACAAATGATCATGAAACATATCCAGCAATCTGAGGCCCAAACCTAAAAAGGTTGTAGCGCCACTGATTTATTTTCATCTTAAACGAATAAAAAACAAAACATAAATAAAACTATTACGAACATCTGATGTGATTTGGCCCCTAATTTGCATTACGAAATGTATTCGTGAATAATATCGCTGTATTAACCTAGTGGCTAGTAACGGTCTTGTCCTGACTGTACCAATCCATTTTTCTATATAAGTATACAATATCTATTCATTACGAAGAATTCAGTGAGGAAAGCGTAATGCTTCTATTCTACCAGATTCTACTCATAATAGTTTATAATAGATTACAACTATGCGATGTACGTACTTATAGTAATTATGTGAAATTAGATTAAAATATTCCTAACATTCCAGTTAGTTGTAGAAATAATACTTGTGCTCGCGTTATTCGATCATAGTTTTAGCTAGCAAGGGCGTCACCAGGGCAAGTCACTTCTGGCAATGTGAGTGTCCATGGGCGGCAGTATCCCCTAACATCAGATGAGCCTCCTGCCCCTTTACCTATATCATAAGTAGCCCACCCCTAGAGAATTGAAATAAACTTTTATTATTCCTTATTGTATTTTATTTCTTTATATCCTCTGTACCTACTTAATTACTTAAACTAATGGCGCCCATGCCTCCCCCTTGGCAATCAGGCCCATCCTTGATAACCGCCGCCCATCAACACCTGGCTCGCAAGTGCGTTGCCGGCTTTTAGGGAAGCATCTCTTTTGAAGACCCCTAAGAAATACCTAGTTCTATAAAACAGTACAAGTTGTGTCTTATAAAGCAGCTCTGTCGTGGAACGCCAGACGTCAAGGTCGGTGATGAAATTTAGTCGCTGATGAAGATGATATCACATAGAGAATGCACGGGAATCCTACATCTTTACGCAATCATTATATGTGTCATTACGTGGATTCTTATAAACATACATATATACATACAGAAATCTGTCGAGTAGCAAGATCGGTGGTTATTCGCCTTATTCTTCTGTATTCTTTGTTATAAATCTCATCTTTCCGTTCCGCCATTTGTATACATATTATACAACTTTTACGACGACAAGTTTCACCCGCTCAAACTAATACGGAAGAAAACTTTTTCCAATATTCACTGACAACTTAATGAGAATTTTCTTTTATCGTCACAGATTGTAGTTAAAAACAATTTGCAATATTAATAAAACTCTGTCAAAATTATCATCATTATAACCTGTATTTTCAACTATCAAAACTCCACATTTAAAATTACACTCATAAAGCAAAAAGCGCTGAATAATTTTTCAAACGGCAGCAAAATTGCGACTTTAGCTTTAGTTTTCACAATTTCATGCTTTGTTGACTTTTTAATTACTCCTCCGCAACGAAAAGCACTTTAATTTTAATTTAAGTTCATTAGATTTCCCGCCACTTTTTACTACGCCACTTTTGAATTGACATTTCACTATTCTTTTTATCGGCTATTAAAGATTGCCAGTGACACGCGCGAGTTTAGAGTGACAGGTCAGGTACATGTAGATTCTATATTTAAATTGGATTTTTGCTATGCTGACAACGAGAGGCGTTCTATATTGGTCGCAAAATTGTGCAAGGAATTCGTCGAAAATAAAAAACCTAACAGCGGTCGAAGTATTTTGTATGTTTTGATACCGAAAACAATGCTTAGTACACCATAAAGAGCTTTAGCATATATTCTGTATTTTTTGGCTTGGTTTAACAAGTGGATTTATGAAAGTACTTACAAAAAATAATACATAAATAAATTGTCTATACTATCAATTTGAAATAGAGTAAACACTTTATATCAATACATTATATTTATAAAAACAAAGCTGCGGTCATTATGGAATACAGAAATAGTTCCGTCATCTTGGCACGGGAAGGCAATTTGCGCTGAAACACGCTGGGCGTCAAAATTGTAGATAAACAAATTGTAAACATGTTATAAATAGTGAACTAATTGTTATTAATAGGTAAGAGTAATGGTTTTTTTTGTTTGTTCGATAAGAAAGTTGAAAAACTATATCAAAACAAATAATACTAAATAAATGGTTCATTCGGGGAACGTCAATAAGTCTGTCAAACTACTAAGTATAAAATGTATTAGTTATAATAACATTACAGTGCAACATACTTTTCTTGTATTGCGGTGGCTGAAATTGGTACTACCGTCGCCATTTTAGTGCGTACAATAAATATTTTTACTATCTATGTATTTATTTGTATTCCTTGCATTATTAATTACAATAGCAAAATTTTAATTATCGAACGGTTCTGATTGCTAGGTATCTTAAAATATATTATATTAATAAGCCCGAAAGCAACAGCATGGCACTCCCACTAAAAAGGGGGGACTGATTGCACGGTGTCGTCACGTCCTGCCACCTCAAAAAGTTACCTCATGATGTGGAAGATCTACTACATTATATGGGATAAGTAACAATTATAGTAATTATTGTAATAAGTATTTAGTAATAATTATATAAGGAGATAAGTAAGTAGAATTACACACACGCACACTCTTACACGCCCTCACACATTACACATTCCCACACACACCTCAACCAATAAATTATTTGTAAATTGTTTTGGTTAGTACATAATGTTTTAGTTCTAATTCTTCGTATATAAGGTGTAACGTTTTGTCTATATGTTCAATACTGTAAATAGAACAGTTAAAAAGTGATTCAAAATTAATAAAAAGAAAATTAAAACAAATTTAAAAAGTTTGGCCCCTGTGGCAGTGTACCTTTAACGCTGGCAGCATTACCTCGCTGTATTGCGATACTTATTCGTTGCGTGAGGAAAGCAACAGCACACAGTTAACAAAAAAAATAAAAAAATGTTACCGTTTTTTGGCAATAAGTATAATTTGTATGATGATATCAATTTTATTTTAACATACAAAATGTAGGACAGTAGGATACAAAGTGACATGTTCTAATAAAAGCGAGCAACACCGTTAAATTGAGTGATTTAATGAAAATGCCAGCTTGTTAGCTGTTCACACCTCGACGCCGGCGTGTCTTAGTGTCGTTATAGTCACGGACTTATTCTAAGAACAGAATCGCTTGACGAATTGTTACGGAAAATCAGCTGAAGCTAGTAAAGACTGTGACGCGTATTCCTCTCAATTAACGAAGAAATGTGGCGATCATTAAGGAGTAGCCCGTATTTGGGTATTACACATTTAAAAAATTTCAAGCTGACAATTGCCTCGGGAGTAAAATATTGCCCCAAGTGCCTTTGCTTTAACCAATAAAGTCCCCAAGGAAATGAACGTGTCTCACGACAGATTGTCTCACTACAGACACGTAAACGACCTGTAAATGAAATACAAATATATCAGTTAATATATAATTTACAAAGCTAGTTTATTATTTTTATTAATTAAAAAAAAATATCGTATGGTGTGTAAAACATATGTTTTTTTAGTACAATATTTGATTTGGCACTATCAGACAAGTTGTAAACAAGAAAGTTGAAACTTTGACCAAACTTCTCATACAAGTTATTTATTTTTATTTTATTTATTTAGTTAATAAGCTTATAACATCACACACAGTACTAAAATTACTAATTATTTTACAAAAAATCTCGCATCTAAAATGTGTGACAATTAATGTAAGCATAAGTTTCACAAAAAAATTTTTTTAATAGAAATAAAAATTACAATTAAAACATATTATACGATAGTAAAAGCACACAATAAAATAAAAAAAATTACAGAAATTTGTTGGCACTTAGAGCAGAAAAAAAAGAAAAATCATCATCAAAACAGCGAAATTAGGTTTGAGAAAGGCAACCCACAATACTTTCTCAAAAACCGATCAGCCCACTACCGAATATATCCAGCTCTGGATACGCTGTGTTCAATTTGTTGAAATCGCGAAGAATTCGAACGAGAGGTGCCTGAACTCCTAGGTTGGTTTTGGCAGAAGGAATTTGGATGATATTGTTGATTTTAAACCTAGGGAATGAGTAAGGGACGACAAATTTAATTTCCTGTAAGAGGTCACTGCTCTGTATATAGTTATTGAGCAATTTATGCAAGAAGGTAACACCGGCTAGAGTTCTCCGATTGTACAGAGATATCATATTAAATTTTTTGAGTCGCTGATGGTACGGGTGCCTATGTGAAAATCCTCTGCTTATGAAAGCTAGGTGCCGCGTAAAGGATCTTTGAATGCTTTCAACGCGTTGCGAATGGATCGCATATGGTGGATTCCATATAATACTGCCAAATTCAACATGACTGCGCACCAGAGCGTTGTACAAAATTGTTTTAGTCGTACAACCAAAACAATCCGCATTCCGTTTAAGAAATCCAAGCATTCCTGTGGATGTGGTGACTACTTTATTGACTTGTGATGTAAACGTTAATTTTTGTCAATAATAACACCCAAGTCACGAATCTCCTGAACCTCCTTCAATGGCGCGCTGTCAAGCTTATACACAGTAACAAGTGTTTTTTTTTCTTGTGTATTTAATATGAAAGCACTTATTTATATTGAGGATCATACCATTTAAAAAGCACCAATGTTGTATACCATTAAGGTCACTTTGCACTAGAGCAGCATCACAGACAGTGTTAATAACTTTATAAATTTTTAAATCATCAGCGAAGAGAGACGCTTTACAGTGCTTTATATGATTCCTAACGTCGTTTACAAATAGTAAGAATAGCAACGGTCCCAAATGGGATCCTTGCGGAACACCAGATCGCGCAATATAGGGAGTAGACTCAGCGCCTCCAACAACTACTGATTGAGGCCTGTTACGAAGATAGGACCTAAACCAGTTCAGCAAATTCTCTCCCATTCCATAACCACGAAGCTTCCGAATCAGTAACGCGTGACTGACTTTGTCAAAGGCATTGCTAAAGTCAGTATATATGGCATCAATCTGGCGCCCACGATCTAATTCCTGACATGTTTCAGTCACAAAAGACATCATTTTTTTTTTCAGATTTTCGCTTAAAGCGATTCTTGAGTGAGTTGAATTGTTGACCAGAATAATCCTTCCAAAGTGAGGGACAACATTTATAGCGTCTTCATAAAACACTTCAATCAAAGGGACGCTGTACCAGCTGATCTTCAGAACGGCTATTTTCGGATTATTATAGTGGATTGTAGATCAAAATTCATTTTATGAATTTATACTGAAGTATGTTTTAAGAAAGCATGCGCCTCGACCTTGGTTGTGCGTTTTTCATTCTGTGCGCCAAACACTAGTACGCTGAAGCAAAACATCTTAAGAAAACTGGCATGCCTTAGAACTAACAATCGACATGTTTCAGGAAGAGAAGCCTGATCAATGAGATGCTAATTATGAGAAAATTTATCACGAAACAGATTAAGAAATCTGCGGCCAAGAACTAAAAACTTATATCCATTGGTCTTTTTAATGAATAAGAAAGCCAATTGAAAAATTCCATATACGTTATAAATAGAGAGAGATATATATATATATATATATGTTTTTTTTTGAATACCAACGTTGTGGTTTAACCAAGTTATGGATTTTTTAATGTCTTTTTTGTCCTTTCCCGGCGCAAAATTACTTTTAATTTGGCATTGATCGGAGTACAGAGACATGTACAAATTGTATTTATGTAACAGGAGGCAAATGGGCAGGAGGCTCACCTAATGTTGAGCGATACCGCCGCCCATAGACACTCTATATGCCGGCCTTCAAGGAATTGGTACGCTCTTTTCTTGAAGGACCCTGAGTTATATTGGTTCGGAAATACTTCAGTGGGCAGCTGGTTCCACATAGTGGTGGTGCGCGGCAAAAGTTGCCTTAAGAAGCGCTCAGACGGACGTCGAGGTGATACAGGTGGAATTTGGTATTCTGCCTGACTGATGATGCAACTGAGTTGCAGTTGTTAATCCGAAAATCACTGAGCACTCTCCGCGGTAAATGCGGTAGAAGATACAGTGACCATCATGATGATGACACATCTCTACGCAACGCCAATGTATCTAGCCAACAAGATATATAGATATGTTATGTAGTACTGTCAGATGTTGTTGCCAGGAGAGAACCAAAAAGTCTCAACAAGTTGGTAATGTACAGAGGAGTGATGGCAGGAGAATTCGGGGTCGATCGCCTACCCGTTGGTTTGACCAGGTAAAGACAATAATGGGTCTCAAACTCCCTAATGCACTGAGACAAGCTGAGGATAGAGTGGTGTGAAGGCAGCAAGTCGATGTATCGCTTAGGGCTTTACGCCAAGACAAGCACGACCTTTACTGATGAAGTTTGCGTAGATGTAGAAGGTACTAAATACCTTATTGCTACAGAACAATATGTTAGAGATAAGTGCAAATTGAAACCAAAGTAAATTTTATGGCTAATCAATGCTATTTTAAAAACTGAACTGTAAGTACACTTGGGTTTTATAAATGACAATAAAGATTAAGATTTACGATATTCAGCTCAAAGGCGTATTATAACTTAAGTGTGCCCTGAAGGCATCATTTTATGTTCCTTTATATTCTTCGGGCTTTCAGGATTGTGTCATTATTAAGTAATTGTATGTTAGAGATATTTTAAATATTTATTTTGTATATTTTTAAGAAAAAGTGGAATCGAGACCGCTTAGTAGGAATAACGGGATCCTCAATATATGTTATAAAGATATAGATGTTTCATAATACATATACTTACCAAATTAATAGTAACAATAAGTTCATATTGTTGGTGCTTGTGTCCTTTTTTCTTCTTGCCCTGTGGAGTCTTTACCGCTGCCGCCGCCGCCTGTTTAGGAGGTGCTGTCTTCACCGAACCCTTCTGCGCTGATGGTTTCACCGGTGTCTTTGGTCCGCCTTTCGCCCCGCCTATTATTGAGTATCTTATTAAAAATATACAACACTTTGAGTCAATGTTTATTTTTGACCCGTAAAGGGAGGGAAAATTTGATTAATATTTTAAGGTAAGGTTATCAGCCAGAGCCGTGTTGGCTTCAGCGTCTCATCCCTGAGGTCGTAAGTTCGATCGCCAGCTGTGCACCAATGGACTTTCTTTCTATGTGCGCATTTAACATTCGCTCGTACGGTGAAGGAAAACATCGTAAGGAAACCGACTTGCCTTAGGCCCAAAAATACGACGGCGTGCGTCAGGCATAGGAGGCTGATCACCTACTTGCCTTGGATTAACAAATGATCATGAAATAAATACAGAAATTTCAGGCCCGGACCAAAACATGGTTGTAGCGCCACTGATTTGTTTATTTTTCATCAGCCAGATATGACCAACCAGAAGCAATATTTCGTCGCAAATCGAACCGAATTGATAATAGGAGTTTAGATGGAGCAGTGTTGGCCTATTGGTTTCAACGTGCAACTCTCATACCTGGACTTTCTATCAATGTGCGCTATTAACATTCGCTCGTACGGTGAAAGAAAACATCGTGAGCAAACCGCCTACTTGTATATTAAAAATTCTCACGGTACAGATACAGAAAAATGAGTCCCAGTCTTATAATGTTATAGCGCCACTGGTATATACGTTATATATTATATTTAGGTGGTCCAAATCAATTATAAGTAATTAGTTTATTTTTATTTCAGACACGTCTCAATATAATTATCAAATCAATGTATACAAAATATTGAAAAAAACTATTTTAAAAGAGTAAGTATGGAGTTTCTTCACCATTTATATTTATTTATTTATACTTCATTGCCATAATACTCATTACAATATATTTATATATATATACAAAAACAAAAAGTAAGTAGGTTACAGAATTTATTATCTAAAGGGCGGCCTTATCGCTAACATAATTGTTCTCCATATGAAACTACCTTTTAGAAGGGGCAACTAGTCATTTTTTTGCCTTTTTAAAAGGCCTAATTGAAATAAAAATTTGATTTGTCTCAAACGTATGATTTAGTTTGAAGAACAATTTTATGCATGATTAACAACAAGCATTTTTTTTTTATATTTGATTCTAATCAGAGCTATCAAATTAATATTTATTGTACACAACATATAGTACAAATTAATTTTTAGGTTTCAATATTCAATAACGAAGATATTAGGTATAAAAACGCTCCCAGTTTGAAACCAGTTACTTATAAATTCCTGCCAATTATTGAATCATATAGTTTTAATATTGCGTTTAGTTATTGTTGTTTTGCCTATTATGCTCTTTGCTCTTATATGTTTTTTCCTTTTTTGTTATATATTTATGTTCTAATGTAAAGTATTTTATTGCATTTATTAAGCATGTATATTGTTTTCGAACATATAAATAAATAATTGAAAATTATTATCTAACCGCCTTGGTCCGGGTTCTATAACAAATGAATTCGGGACTATCCCTTGCGTATCAAGGCAATGAACCTATTTAGCAAAGTTGCAGTTACCTCTAAAGTTCCACTATCCGAACGCTCCCAAGAGGTTGAGTCATTTAAAAACTTTTTCCATTTTTATTTTCCACTTGCCATTCGCACACATTACTCGCGTATTTAAATTAATATTTTAAAGGGTAATCATTATAATTTAGACCTAGTATCACTCACAGTATTATAAAATTGTATGTAATTTTAGCAGTACTACCGTAAAAGAATTTCTGTTTCTATAGAACATATTATATTTTTAGTTTACTTACAATTAAATAACATACTATGTTGTATTATGTATTAGAAAAGAAAATATTTAACATTATTATTAAATTGTAATGAGAATTAATAAAATACAACCACTGCGTTTTCCGACCGCTGAACACATACAAAATCTAGACATGAAGCTACCAGGTCCTTTGAGCCAAAAATCTTAAAAGGCCGGCAACTTACTCGCGAGCCTTCTGGCAATGTGAGTGCCCATGGGTGGCGGTATCACTTACCATCAGATAAGCCTTTTGGCCGTTTGGCTCCTGTGACAGAAAGAAAAAGATATTCTCTTGAATATATGCAAAGAATGTGCGCAATTGTTCCAAAATAATACGCTTAAAGCTCTATTGTGTTCAGTTTTGACAGTTTAAGTAATCCATTATGCACGCTCGCTTACTACCTGCGGTACTTAACAGTTGTAAGTACAACTTATGCAAGTAAAGTTATAAATAAGTTTACTAAATAATTTATACACTATTACATTTATAGAAAAACAAATAACATAATAATAAAAATTATAAGGAATGCAACGGACGGCCTTATCGCTAACAAAAGATCTCTTCCAGGCAACCCTAGTAAGGGAAAAACTAAACAAGAAAAATGATGGGTAAAGTGCAAGAAGTGCATAACCAAATCTTATAAAAATTATAGAATCACCATAAATTAAACTAAAAACTAAAAAGCTAATCTCACGGATTCATGAATTGCGATGCAATACAATAGATAAATACAAGAATTACAAAAGTCACGATTCAGGAGGATTGCATATGGTTAAGAAATGTTTATGTAGATGAGTATTAAAAGATGTCCGGATATATCTATTTGGAAGTTTACACTGCTGTATGATTTCTTAATCGAGCATAAAAAATCGTAGATGAATTACACCATTTCGTATATTACAATAGCAGTAGTACTCTTGTTCGTAAACAAGAGAAAATTTTAGAAATTGGATACCTTTCTGTCCACCAGGAGTAACTTTCTGCCCCGCGGCGTTTTTCTGATTAACGTGTCCACCACCATCTGCAGGCTTGTTTCTTGCCTGAAAAGACATGAATTTCTTATTATTATTTTTAAATGGATCAACATTATTTAAAGCATTACTAATATATGTTTAAATACTTATAAATAACATTGTTGTGTTTAATAATATTAATTTAAAGAAGATATTTCGCTATGAAAAATCGCCAAATATAATATTTCAAAGCCCCGCTGATTTACCAAAAATCCTGTGAAAAAAAAAAAAAAAAAACTTACAGCTTACTAAACGTATACGCATGTGTATGTTTCTACAATTACTGAGAAGCAACATATGGATCAGATGATATCACTATGATCTACTCTGTCAAACGCACCGTTGAAATCAAGTCAAATCAAATCAGCGGAGTCCTACCAGTTCATTTATTTTAGCTGATTTTAATGTAGCATGAGAAATAAAGTAAGAATTTATTTTAAACACTATCCTTGAATATCCTTCTGTGACAAGTTATCGATTTTATGAACATGTTGGTTACGATGTTTTTCTCCGTACAAGCAAGTGTAAATATAATAAGTACTATGTGTTATTATGACGGTTAATACATGAACCGTTTACCTCATGCCCGCAACCACCTCCGTGGAGACTTAGGATAGGCTTAGTCCCTTTCCAGGTAAAAACTTTAATAAAACATAACAAGTTACACAACCTCGTAAGTATATAAGTAGGATAAAAAGTTCATATTTGTATTATTTAACTTTTTAATTAACATTGTATACGATTCTAAAGTTTATTTTATTTTTATTTATTTATAAAAGCTTTCCAATGCTCGGTACACCGATCATTGGTAGAAGAACAATAAAATACAATTATAATATGAAATTCACTAAAACATAAATGATTTAATATAAATATTACTAGTAGACTCGGCCAAGCGTTGCTCTGGCTAAGATTTTTGTTATATTACATAGTAGTAAACTATTCAAGGGAAACGGTAGGAGAACTTATGTGAAAGGTAGATGACAGCTTATGTGAAACGTTGATAATTTTAACACAGCGCCATCTGTTAGAATTGTATCAAATAATAAACAAATATTTTGCAATAAATTAAAATTGAGACTATAATTTGAGATTTAAACTATCCTATCTCTCAAGTTGGATCGAACTGCACATGGTGTGCAAATTTGATTGATATCGGTTCGGTAGTTTAGGAGTCCATTGAGGACAAACATTGTGACACGAGATTTATATATATTAAGATATATTTTTATATTTATTTTTACGATGCTCCAATGACAACATCTTAAAGTACGTTAACCTGGTTTCGTATGTTGGCCACATTTTTCGGAATGCCACTGGAGAAAAGTAGATGCCACAGTAAACTTTTTTGTAATTCGAGTTGTCTTGTACAATTCGAACTAAATTCTTATTATTGGATATCTATTTTAATTCTTAATATTATTCATAAATACATAGGGGTTATTAACGATCACGATAATTTATTGTCAGGATATCCTATGGACCTTCGTCAAATCCTAGCGAGTGTTATAAACAGTAGTTATTACTTTAAAATTGTATTTTGTATTTGACATCTTTATCTATTACCTCGATTCAAAATCCTACTAATATTATAATCGCGAAAGTTTTTAAGTATGGATGGATGTTTGTTACTCTTTCACGTAAAAATCTACTGAATGGATTGTAATGAAACTTAACAATAATATAGCTTATACATCAGAATAAAACATAGGCTACAATTTATAACGATATTGTGTAAATTGTCCAATATATCAAGTAAGTAGGAAAAAATCTACCATCTGTGAGCTACGCTGCCAAAACCGCTAGTTACGCATATGCAATGTATGATGGAAATGTTTATCTTAAATAGTCAATATCTTTAGTAGTTTTTTTCTACGCCACTATACAAGCTACTCGAAATTATAATCCTGCGCAGACGAAGTCGCGGGCACCAGCTAGTGTACATTAGTGTAAATTAATGCCGTTCTGTCTCTGTCCTAGCCTGTCATAGTTCTCTATACATATTGTAAACTCAGCGGTTTTTTTTTAAGTATAGTGGTACATGGGCAGGGTGCCTGTCGTTAAGTGGTACCGCAGCCCATGGACACACAATGCCAGAAGGCTCGCAAGTGCGTTGCAGGCCTTATAACGTTAAGGTAGTAGCTATCTTTTCGTAAGTCGAATTGTACGGTAGTAGGCAACTGGTTCTACATAGTGGTGGTACGCGGCGAAAAGTGCCTTAAAAAACGATCAGTTGAATGGACGTCGAGACTGAATACGAAATTCCTCGCGTATCACCTCAACGTCCGATAATAATATGAGGACATTTCACTGATATTGAAGGCAAAAGATCACGTGGCCGTTCACCAACCAGATAGACTGATCGTACTTAAAACTGTACACTGTCATAAGAGAGGCGCTGGACAGAAACCGGTGGAAACAGATAGTCCGCACCAGACGCTTTCTTGCCGACCACGACACTCAGATGAGCTGCTGATTAAAGAGAGAGTCATATAAGCCAAAATATCTCCTGAATTATAAAGATTTGGATTAAAATATTCGCAGCGTAGTATTGATTCACACGAACGAACTTGAATATCGTCTTCTGGACAATTTCCTGAACACGTCCGCACAATAAGAAGATTTTAACAATTGAAATGTATGAAATATTGCTGGGGAAAAGGGAATCTATTGTACCATATGCGAATATAAAAGAAATAAGTAGGTTTTCATATTCACAATAACGTTATTTTTCAAAAATATTATCACAAATACCTATACCAAAATTACATTTAATCTAATTTAAACTAAATAAAAAATAATGCCATTATTAGTTCATTCAATATAACATAAAGTTTTTGAACATTTAAAATCATTATCTATTGCGGTATAATTTGGAAGATAACTAAAGTATATAATAAGGAGTTATTATAACCACAATTGCCTACATTAGTTTAATATATTGTAAGTACAAAATAATATTAGTAATTAAATTTAGATATTATTAAATTTATTAGATCTTTAAAAAACTATCATGTAAGCGTTTTTTTATATAACATGTCATAGACAATGTGTGGGTAATATGTGTCAAAAAGTAAATAATTACTGTTGACGTAATCACCAAATAAGAAAAACCTTTATATATTATGACAAAGAGTACCAATTCTTAACAGGCCGGCAACGCTCTCGCAATTCATCCGGCATTAAGAGTGTCCATGGGCATATCACTTAACATCAGGTGAGCCTCCTGCCCGCTTGCCCACAGTTATATAATAAAAATGATTTCTGTATCCATTTCTTTAGTTTCCCTTTTTCAGCAATCAGATGTGCTGTCATCTGTTATCTAATCCGATGCCTATCGAATTGTTTCTTCACAGTAACAACTAGTTGTACATCTAATATATAAAATTCTCGTGTCGCGGTGTTTGTGGTTAAACTCCTCCGAAACGGCTTGACCGATTCTCATGAAATTTTGTGTGCATATTGGGTATGTCTGAGAATCGGACAACATCTATTTTTCATCCCTCTAAATGTTAAGGGTAGTCTACCCCTAAATATTTTTTATTTTATTTTTAGATATTTTTTTCTGTTTTTATTTTTATGATACAGCATTAAAAAATACATACAAACCCTCATTTTTACCCCTCTACGATCAACCCCTATTTTTTATTATAGATGATATAGATGGCAAAACGACGTTTGCCGGATCAGCTAGTATAATATAATTGATGAACTCCCGTGTCTCGAACGGACTACCTTACCGTATAAACAGTATTTATAGTATCTTAATCTGTAGTTTTATAACGTGTGAGGTTTTATTAACCAAACGTTTTAATGTCTCACATTCCTGTCTTTTATTATCCACACAAACAATAAAAAGTCTAGCGGTTTAGACTGACACTTGAAATCAGCTATAATGTGAAATCTAAATAACTTTGTTACGACGCGTGTTTATTTCATATTTATGTAGCTTCGTATTTTTAGACATTATTGTAAGAAAAATAAGGCTTTTAATTTGATGTAAATTAATACAAAATACCTTTACGATAATTATATTATCCTAATCCTTGGGATTGATTTGCTCCAGTTCAAACAATTTGTATGACAATACTTGGCGATTAAAAAGAGTGGCGGAAAGTTTCTTGCCAGTTCTTCTTACCCTTGACTTGCGAACTGGTAGTAAATGTACATTTACAATTAATTTAACTTCTTTCTGACAATTCATAAGTGTAATTGTTTACCAACATGAATAAAGATTTTTGAGTTTGAGTTTATTAGATTTTAATGTACAATTGAAAACAATAGTCCGTCATGATCGTAAAACAATGTCGGTGTTGAAAAAAATCCAAAATCCACTTTTTATCATATTTGGATACTACTTTGACTAAATCTAACGGCTACATTTTAAAAAAATCCATGTGTTTAAATTTCAAATTAATCAGTCGGTAAAGTGACGGATTTGATAGAAGCATGTGATTTTTCTAGAACACTGTGTACTTTAATGTTATAATTTTTATTTTGTTTCAACACAAACCGTTTTGTTTGCTTGTATGCCAATTTTCATAATAACAGAATATAAATTAAAATAGTTATGATGAAAACTAACATGATTATATTATTTTGAAATGGCTGCCCTGTAAAGTTTACTATTTGTCAGATCCGTCACTATTCTACTATGACATTACGATCACACACAGCACAATCAATAAGACACTTTCCTACTACCATATATCAAAAACGTTCAGTAATACCCCGGACTTACACGATCAGTGAGATGTGTGAGCAGTGGTGGCCTAGTGGCTTGCGTGCGACTCTTACCCTGAGGTCGTAGGTTCGATTCCCGGCTGTGCACCAATGGACTTTCTTTCTATGTGCGCATTTAAGTGAAGGAAAACATCGTGAGGAAACTGACATGTCTTAGACCCAAAAAGTCGACGGCGTGTGTCAGGCACTGGAGGCTGATCACCTACTTGCCTATTAGATTTAAAAATGATGACCAAAAGAGGTTGTACTGATTTATTTTATTTTTTTACGCGGTCGGTGGGACCAAGGGTTAGCCGTCAAGTTCAATTTTGCATATAACGCCTTTAGTACACCTACGCAATCGCATGCGGCAGCGAAACGACGAAAAAACTGTAAGTTGTATGGCAACGTTTCGCATGTGTTTTGTCTCGCTCTAATATATAGCTAGATGAAATAGTTGCGTCCTTGTCGGTATTGTTTCGCAAGTAACTGCGAAATGGCTGTTACACAGACGCAGACGTTTCGCTAGTAAAGTTTCGCATCGCCAGGCGTCACCACGCGTTCTGTCAGTGAGGACAGAATTTCGCACAATGGAAGCCGAAAATATTGAATTATTATTGAATTTGATTCGAAATTATCCCGGATTATATTTAGTTGGGCATGTTGATTACAAAATCCTCTTCAGAATCTGAAAGCGACGACTGGGACGACTCAGATGACATTCTGAAACGACGTCTGCACCTACAGCCCACGAAAGCTACAATGACATATCCTTGCGAAAAACCTGCAGTGTACTAACGTTCCGCAGATATTTCGCTACCGCAATTATTTCGCAAAGATTCGCAGCCGCATACGAACGCGTAGGTGTAGGTGTCTACTAAAGGCGTAAATACGGATAAAGTTCATACTTTTGATGGCGACGCGGTAGTTCGAATTTCAAAAATTTACAAATTTTTATTATTAATAATATTAAACTTTGATTTTTTTATCGACTTTGATAATATTTAATTTACACTCTAAAGACAATGTTTTTCGTGTTTTCTTGTTAGGTTCAAATTAATTTGTGTTTTCGATGACATAATTAAAGATAAATTAATAATGTGCACTGCGTACGTAAAACAATTCCACGCGGAACATGTTCAAACTTGTCGTAAACCGGCCACCGACAGCAAGCGGAGTGAGCATATAGTCCATTGAAATGTTACATGGGCTGAACATTTTTTAGAGCACGCAATTTTATTTATGGGACATGTAGGGGGGTCAATACAAGCTTAAACCCAAGTTTGGAGTTGGCGCCCTTGTCCCACGGCCCCTATCTTGGAAAAAGTGGTGAAAACACGTTTTAACACCTCTAGCAAAAAGTCAAAAGTCAAAAATCATTTATTTATATAGGTAACACAATGTACACTTATGAACGTCAAAAAAGAAATATACAGTAAATGCTTCTGATTTTACATTTATTGGCAGTTCTCAAATCAAGGGCGTAGAACGGGAGAGAAGAACTGGCAATAAACTCTCCGCCACTCTTTTTTAATCGCCAACTTTTTGTTTTACACAACGTTTGTGAGGAGCCGCAACCATTACACCATGTTCCACGTGACATCTTAAGTAATAAATAATAATAAAATAAATTAAAAACAAACATTTGTTCTCTATCAGCAGCTTTTACAATAAATGAAACAAATAATATTAAAAACCGCGTAGCTCCGAACTCGCGTAAAACGGCTAGCGTAAGTCGGGGTATTACTATATTACGTTTTGACATACCGAAGTCAGCGTTTATTTTATTTATGCTGTTATATGACATATGTTGAAATGAGGACAAACAAAATACTTATGAAAAAATATTAAGAAAAGCATATATCCCTTGGCGTTGCTTAAAGGTGTGGGGTCTCTCAGCATCTTCATCCTGGTAAATACATGGAGAGTCTTCAGAGGAGTTGTTCGGACTAATAACATCCTGAGTTTCATTATCGGACGTCAAGGCAGAATACAAAATACCATCCGTATCACCTCGATGTCCGTCGTTCCATAACTGAGCGTTTCTTAAGACAGTTTTTGCCGCGCACCACCACTTTGTGGAACCAACTGCCCACTGAAGCATTTCCGAACCAATTCTACTTAGGGTACTTAAAAGGGTAAGAAAGTGCTCAACACAACTTACAGTCTCTATTAAGGGGTAGACACTCTATTCTTGTGTACTATTTTATAAAAATAGACAAATCGTCATAGTCGTAGAATAGTGACGGATATGATAAATAGTAAACTTTACAGGGCAGCTACTTCAAAATAATATAATCATGTTAGTTTTTGTCATAACTATTTTAATTCATATTCTATTATTATGAAAATTGCCATAAAAGCAAACAAAAGGGTTTGTTTTGAAACAAAATGAAAATAATAACATTAAATTACACAGTTTTCTAGAAAAATCACATTCTTCTATGAAATCCGTCCCATTACCGACTGATTAATTTGAAATTTAAAACACATTGATTTTTTTTAATGTAGCCGTAATATTTAGTCAATGTAGTATCCAAATATGATAAAAGTGGATTTTTGGATTTTTCTCAAATCCGACATTGTTCTACGATCATGACGAAATATCTAAAAACAAATAGTTAGGTAGATTTTTCTTAAGATTTTTTTGTTCAATTTAATGAACTTTATAATGAATTTAAACCATATTTGTATTACTGGAACATAATTGGTGGCTATACAAAATAATTGCTAGGCTTTCAGAAGATTTGCATAACATTAGCATAATTCTTTATTGTGAAAAGCTTTAGCTAATTCTAGTAAAGCACTTAAAGTGATGCGACAAACTTGAGAGTCGTTCAATTAATGCGGAGCTCCGGAACGTGACGTTTCATTGAGGTTAATTAAACTTGCTTTATCTTTGAAATTTTAATGGCAGCTATTATTTATGGAACAATTATTCCAATTTTGAAATAAGAAAGTGTTCTTTTTTTAGTCGCTCAAAAGGCAGCGAATATGTTCTAAATTCAAAAACTATCATGAACAATGTTTACACCCACCAACTTCCAGATAGGAAATCAAAACATGTCTGTGGGGTGAAAATCTAAGTCGAAATACGAAACGACAGCACGTTTGACTGTGATTGGTCAGCTTTAGCGTCTGTTGGACACGCGGCGTGATGCGTCATGGTCACGTCCTTTTAACCGAACACAATGAAACGCACATTCTCGTCCCCTGATCTTATATTTGGCATTTGGCCACGGTATCTACAGCCTACATGACGAACATCATACGATATCTAACCCTGGAATTTCCGATGGTTTTTTAATACATTGTACACAAAGAACGGGGTTTTTCTAATCACGCTGGCGCCGAGCGGCTTCAGTCACGTGATATTATATTTTTCAATAAAACGGAGGGTAAACGAGCCTACGTGACAGTCAGAATAGGCAGTTACCGCATGGACACATATGTTATGTGGTTGTTGGCCGTTAAGGGCGGACTATACTTTTTTCTTAAATACTTGGATTATTTCCTACGAAAGACCTCCACACTTCATACCATATTTAAGGGAATATTAGTACAGTTTAGTTACTGGCATTTATTGACGACTAGGAGTACAAAGGAGGAGGAGTACAAAATCGGAGTACAAATGTCGTTTTCCTAACGTTTTAAGAGAGAGATATCTTTATGCTAGCAAATCTATGAACAATTGTCTATGGCATGGATGTCATACATAATATAAAAAAGTCTCAGTTCCTCCGTAGTAAGGGAGAAGGGTTTCCTACATTGCAGTATTTGCTATATGTTAAAGGATTTAATGTGGTATAGTTCAGGGTAGAGGAATTGATGTTTCTCATAAAAACCATCTCTCAAATTGAAGTGCGTGTAATCTTTAACGGCGAAAGAATAACATATTAACGTTCAAATCTGATTTTTTTAAAACAATTTACAACGATATTTTTAAACGTACTTTTGAAAGAAACTTATATAATGCAGCGCAGACTGAATAGAACTGACTTCTTATTTCTCTTTACTCCAGGGAAATAAGCCTAGGACAATTCTGATACAAATCTCGCTACGTTTTGGTCAAAACGTCCAAAAATATAAAGTTCATAATACTTTTCGATGTTAAATAAATTAAGAAAATGAACTAAAAACTTGTTAACAATTAGTTACTAAAAACTTATTAACAATTTAATTATATTTTCACACGACATTTTGAATGATTTTCATACAACTTCGTTCGATATTTGAAAATTGAGAAGTATTCGAAATTCGAATTCCGAGACTATTAATATTATCTAATTTTATTATTCCATACGAAGAATTCCAAGTCAACAGAAATTTTTAATTTCGAATACTACATTTCGAATTTCGAATACTTCTCAGTTTTGAAATATCCAACGATGTTCCCAAAGACATTATTATCTAATTTTATTATTCCACCTCTACGGTGCACGGACACAGTTCTGCCTCTATTATTTAGATATTTTTTAAACAATTTTCTTTCTTATAATATTATGACAAATTATTCTCTACGTGCGTTACCTACCATAGAGCCAGCACAAATTATACACACATAAAATCTACAGCCAAATTATCCAGCAATGGTGTTTTGTCTGTGGTAATACCTCATGGAAGTCACTTTGTTAACCAGTTGGTCTCAGCGCGTGAACGGAACGCATCCCGCGCATTTTCCTTCATTCTTTCCCGTCTAAGTTAAAATGGTGTGTTCAAATTTTTTTTGCTTTTTGTTAAATAATGTTACTGAAAAATATTTTTGTGTTGCAGACAACTCAATTGGACGAAGAGCAAATTGCAAGTATGTTTTTATTTTACTTTTTTTATTAAAATAGCTACCTATAATAAATCATACGAAACATTATTAAACCTGCATTGGTGAATTTCTTTTTTTTTTATTAAAACTTTTTTGACAAATTAAAGATAAATTTGATTTTAATAAGTTTTATTTTATGCTTGTCTAAATAAAGTAATGAAAAATTTAATTATTTTGAAGTACTGGATAATTATTCTATGAAAAGGAATTATAATAGTATTGTCTTTGATTTACATAACCTTTACACATTTAAAGAAAAAACTGTTTGACCGGATTGAAGTTATGTATTATTATAAATTTACAACTATTTAACATAATTTTAAATTTATCCGACGTCACGCACGCTGTAAAGCACGCGAAACGAACGGTGACCACGCACGCTGTGGTTTTTTTTTCTTTAAAAGGAATTATAATACACTCCCAACACATAAAAATAGTTAAAAACCAGATTTACTCCAATTAATATTTCTCTTTACTTCTATAGTACATAATTAATATACAGGGTAATTGGTGATTCGATGTCATTCCGTAGGTGATAGGGGTGATTTGCGATCATTTTAACCCTTAAAGGCATGTAAAATCAACCATTTTTGAATTATCATGTTTTTTTTTCAAAATAAGTAAGCAACATCAAAAATTGATTGGAAAATAATCTTCAGAAGTATGTAATGGTTATCCCTATATTTTCCTAAGATGAATACGTAGAATTATTAATCCCTATGCATTAAATTATAAATAAATACTAACTGACCCGGCAAACGTCGTTTTGCCATAATATATATTATTTCTAGGAAAAATTTTTTTAAATCAATAAAAATAACTATCTACTATAATACAAAATAGGGGTTGATCGTAGAGGGGTGAAAATTAGGGGTTGTATGTATTTTTGTATGCTGTGTTATAAAAAAATAAAAACAATTTTTTTTTACAAAAAATAAATAAAAATATTTTGGGGTGGACACCCCTCATCACTTAGAGAGGAGGTATGAAAAATAGATAGAAGCCGATTCTCAGACCTACTGAATATGCAAATAAAATTTTATAACAATCGGTCTAGCCGTTTTGGAGGAGTATGGTAACTAACATTGTGACACGAGAATTTTATATATAAGATAAACTATCACTATGTAATATTCCTATCGTTAATACTGTAGTGTTGGAAACATATTATTTGGTTTCTTGAAAGTTTAAAGACCCAGATAGTCCTATCTTAATTTCCTAGTTAGTATTACTTTTGGACAAATCATATAATATTACCTAAAATCTGTTTGAGAAAATTTAGTCACACTATTTCAAATCTATATAAAAGTTGTAACATGATATCGGATATATAATAATAGAATTTTATTATCTTTTGTTCAGTGCTGCGGCGGGCATTCAGCATGTTCGATTCCAGCAAACAAGGCAAAATCGAGAAGGAGAAAGTACGAACAATTCTCAATACGATGGTGCACAACTACGATGATAACGATTTGGATAAGATGCTGGATGCAGAAGATATTGATGGTATGACTTTTTTGTAGATTTTTCTTCCATTCAAACTGTAACAGTTATTTACTATGAAATTACTAGGCGCGAATCCGCGCATCAAATCTATGGGCCCATGCTTTTGTTTGCATCCAGGTCTTGCACCAATAGATTTTCGTGTTTTAATACTTGCTATCGACGGAATCTGTAATTAAAACCGCCAGTTGCCTTTCCTTTACATGTCCATGAATAAATAAAAATAAATAAAACCTGGTCACCTATACGATGGTGCATTAAATCTGAAGATATCGCTATCTCTTGCCTGGATGAGATCGCTCGAAAACGATAAGGCCCTCAGTTGCCCTCCTTTACATTTAATTATGTCAATTGTATTATATTTATGTATATGCAACAAAGTGTTAATAAATAAATAAATATATCTATGGGCGCAGGCTTCTGTTCGGATCCAGGCTTTGCACCAATGGATTTTTTTATTTGTCTTTTCATACTTGCTATCGACGGAATCTGTTATAATAGGCTGGTCCTTCTTCGTTCGTTCTCCTCATTCTCGTGTTGACTAAATAGAACAAATTAACTTGAAACATATTTAAAATTCTGAGGCTTCCTTTAATGACTGTATGGCTATTATTACTTAAGATGTCATGTGGAACATGGTTGTAATGTGTGCAGCCCCTTACAAACATTGTGTAAAACAAAAAACTTGGCGATTAAAAAGAGTGGTGGAGGGTTTATTGACAGTTCTTCTCTTCCGTTCTACGCCCTTGATTTGAGAACTGGCAGTAAATGTAAAGTAAATTTCTTTTTGACGTTCATAAGTGTACATTGTGTTACCTAAATGAATAACGATTTTTATTTAATTTTAATTAATGCCGTATAATTTTCTTTTTTATGTAAAAAATTATAAGTTTTGGTAACTCCTTCCAATTTTATGAGATAATTCGAAATCATGTATTTTAATCTCAATCTTCGTGTTGAATTGTCGTTTAAATCAGCTGATGTTGATCCTGTATGGCATTGAGGCGTCAAGGCAATTTGAACGAAGCTATTTTGTAAAACATCAAAGCAAACTAAAACTGTCCCAGACACGCTCATAAAATCGTAAAGTGTTTAACGGATACGTAAACGGTAACCAAACACATAAAATTTGGTTTTGACTGAATGTAAATTTTTGACAAACATTCCTATTAAATATCTCATAAAATGGGGCTTGGGATATTTCTGCGTGTGTTTAATAGTCCTTTTGTATAGAAAATCAGCTTCTATTGTCTAAGCCATTATTACAAGTGTATCATGTACGGCGGGTTTCACGAAATTCCATAAAAAGTTTCGAGATTCACAACCACTTCGACCACTTCTTACACTGCCTTGCGATTCTGTACCTCACTTTTCGAACTCGCACAGCGGTTTTCGCAGCGGAGGTCGCGCTCAAATCAGTCGTGAAGCAGTCATTTTACGATTTGGCATTCTGATAAGGAGGGAGCTTGTAGTTTATTGTTTATCAGAATCCGTTTATCAGACCGCTGTGCGAGTTTGAAAAGTGAGTTACAGAATCGCAAGGCAGCGTTAGAATAATTTAAGAGATAAATAAAGTCTTTTATTTGTATTTACATACATAATTTGTTTATTAAATCATGATTTAATCTAAATATTAAGAAATCCAGATTAAGCTCAGCACGCAGGTTAGGTCACGTATAAACGTCAATACCAGAGCCAGTTTTTGACAGCTCGAACGTATAAATTTTCCCTACAATTTCAAATGTCCTACACGAGTTCTATTCGCATGATGAATGTGCTTCCGTTTAGTCCGCCCATGATGAGTAACTTTTGATTTTATTAAGTGATAATTCTCTAATTTCGCTTTGTTTTAAAAACGAATACAATTTCCATATAAGGTGTGGTTTACCTTCTGGAGCCTGGTTGGTCGTACGCTTAGATTAGTTTTGTTCCGAGACTATACTGGTGAAAGTCACCATTTATTTTACAACAAGGCTTCAAGAATATATAATACCAGATGGTGTCATAATATTAAATTCCTTAAACTTATGACACTATCTGGCGGAACTCGGTGCTTATGGAGCTTAGAAAATCAGATTTGTTCAAGTAACAATACATATAATAATAATAATAATCAGCTATAGTTACTTGAGTATGAATTTTAATATTTTTGGACACAATATTTAATTAAGACGTAAGGAGCGTCATTTAATATCTAATTTACTGATAAACCGAATTCAGCGTCGGAAAAGGTTTAAACACATGTCAAAATTATGACAACCCCAAACCCTTGTTTAAATCTATTTAGAGATAAAAGAGGAAAAGTGTAGTGATTAACTGTGTTGTAAGTAAGATTATTATGAAATTTTTTAAAGGAACTTTCAATAACATTTAAACCATATTCCTTGTTGATGATTTGAAGATAAGACCAAACTTAACAGTTTCCAATAGAAGTAAGAATTCATTGATTAATTGATTGTGCAAAAAATTATTCCATCCAACCTAATTTTCACATATATGCTCAGCATGCCAATTATCACTTGTTATATTTAAAAAACTCCCTATTCGGTCCCCATGGTAAAAATAGTAGATATTTTATTTTTCTCTTTCTCTTTCGATTTCATTTCTTTATTTCCTTTTTTTTTTCTTTTTACGTTTACGAATTGTGAAGTCCTATTTTTTGACACCCCAATATAATCTCGAGTCTTCCGTGGACCCCTGGTTATCCACCTGAACCACTTTGGGTACAGTGATCTAAATAGATTTCTTTGACAATTATGATATTTAGAGAGACAGCCACTTGAAACTTAAAATAATACTGAATAATGCAATTATATCTATTAGTAAAATGAAAAGCTTTATTTATTGGTCGAGCGTTGTTTAGTTAAATAACAATAACATTTTTATAAGGTGGTTTAGTGAATAATTGAAATTACTTTTATAAGTCTTAAAACAGTTTTATAAATATAGTTATATAAATTTTATTTTAAAATTGCAATACTTACCCCTTGTAAAAGACGAAGTAAATTTACGGTTCGTACAGAGAGATAGCAAAATTCGTAGTCAGTCGAAATTGTGGCGAGTGTATTGCAAACTTACATGAGATTTTATCACGTCCGACAAGCCCCAACTGTCACAATCACTTCCATAGAAACTTCAGCAAACTTGCTCAACATGATAAGTTCACATAAACTTCGTATTTACATGTATGAGCTTTATAAAAGCTTTGTTCAGATTTAAGTTAAAGCGTTACTCAAAATCCTGTTAATATAAGGTTACATCTTCCTCATACAGTGAATTAAACTAAGTTATTTAGTTATTCGGGTCTTAACTAAGTGCAATACTTTATTATCATTTACACATTTTCCAACTAACCAAAAAGGGTTTGAGGAAATATTTTAAGTGGAGGGAAGACTTTATTTAGCAGTACTAACAATCTAGGGTTTTCTTTTAAATATTAAGTTGTCGTTTGTTTAATGTTTAATTTTAGTTTTCTTTTATATATATTAAGATAATTGTACACGAGTATGTTCTGTTTCTTAAATTTTGTTAATTTGTTTTGGCTTTGCATATTGTATAATGTTTTCTTTTATAACATGTGTTTGTAAATTACTTATAAATAAATTATCCCAAATAGCAGCTAGATGAAATTACAGTTTATAACTGGTATGGATTCCCATCGGAGTTTTAGATAAAACAGAATCTCGTAATATTGTTGTTAGTGGGTTTTAATGTAATATCAAGAAATTTCAACCAAATTGTATCGTATTATTTGATACCAAAGTTAAGAACCCAGTCCAAAGGTCATATACTTTTATTACTGAAATGTATCGTAAACTATGACTCTTGTATGCCAAAGTTCATAAGGTTTTTTTACGTACGGATAGGAAGATAGATTCCGCGAACATTGGTTCGAGCTTAGACCCAAAGATCTACGACGTGAGTCAGGCACTAATTTCCCTTTTTTTTTAAATATTGAAGCAATGACTGACGTAAGATACGTCTCCATGTGCATTCCGACCTCTCCTACCCACTTCCTACACCACTCACTTTGCTATAGCGTGCATATGTGAATCGCGGATAAAAATAAATTGTATGTTATTTAAATTTTCTTTATTGAAGTTATACTTCTTTAGGCGCGTTATGAAAATTTGATGAGAGTGAAATTTTACGATGCGCGCGCACCTATGACACAAAATTCGGAGTGTGATTATAGCGTGCGCAATCTACAAAAGAAATAGAATATAAGCTAACTTCACGCATATTCTATTTCTTAGCTTAGCAGCTTAACAAGAATTTTGAATATCCATGACAATTGACATCTGACAATGACATTTACCTTTTAAACAAATATAGGAGTTTGAATTATTGTTTAAAATAAAAGATTCTAAAAGTACCTAGTTATTTTCATTATACAAGTGCGAATTTTATATGTGCGTCTGAATTATAATCAGAAATTGAATATCTAAATCAATACTAATTAATATGATAAAATATTTGTGAAAAAACTGTGCCAACCTTCCTGAGTGCTTCAATACAATTGAGGTTAACTATCCGTATGTATTATCGAGTATTATTGTTGATTAAAACTGAAACATGAACTTAATTAACTTTTGTTTATTGCGTTTGTTACAGCAACTTTTAGAAATATTCTACGACCCTATATATCAATAATTGAGAACAAAGATTTAAGCACGAATACTAATAAGGAGAAAATGAAGGCTTGGAGCGATATTACAGAGAAGTAAACATTTTAATAAGTACCTGCATCTCAAAAAAATGATTACATTATTTAATCAAAACATGTAATTTTTCAGATTTAATCTAGCAAATATACGGACAAGAGACAAAAAACAATTTCAGTGGAAGTGCACTAAATTGAATAAAAAAAAAGAGTTGTCATCTTATCGCCGTGAAACATCAAAAACAAGAGGTGGAACAAAGCCACCATCACCTTCTCCAGACACAATGGATATGGCAGAGATGATACCGCAACGGTTTGAAGTAGATTTCAATGAATTTGATTGTGATGGTGTCGAGGTAGGAATGTTAATTATAAATATGATGGTGATGTTCAAGGCTCAACCTCTCAAGCATAGGCACATACTTTATTCCCCTACAGGGTAGTTAGAGATATTGTAATACCTCAAAACATCCATGTTGCTCTTGTAGTACCGAAACTCTGTCCAGCCAGAAGTGAGCCCATTCCCACTTATAATGGACAGTGGGTATAATACACCTTAATACCTGAGTGCGAACCACTCACCATGACACTTAAATTAATAGATGTTATTTATATATTTCAGGATATTACAAATAAAATCATTTTGGAAACAATTGCTATCCCAAAAGCAAATAAAGCCAACAATGACAAGGTAATAAATCAGTTTTGACATAACTTGAATACTAAAAAAGCCAAACAAAGGTGTGCACAACAGTGACAACATAACTTAACAATTTCATTATTTTGTAGGATTAAAGAAAGGTTAAAGAAAATCATGTCGAACTGATCAACAAGAATCCCCAAACAACTCAAAAGAAACCTACAAGGAAGACACCGGTATTATATTTAAATTATCTCTATCTCTAAATAGAATAAAAGAAAGTTGCTATCCAGGTCTGTAGCATGTGCTACAAATTATATTATTAACACATTTATATAATTATATTAATATAAATGTGTTAAAAATTTTATAATATGAATTATAAAAATTTTTTATTTTGTAAGAGAATAATTATAAATATTTATTTATTAAATTTTTCAAATGTAAACTGAACTTTATTGACTATAATGACTCCTTTTCCAGTCTTTGATTATTTAATTGTAATTAATTATTTGCATGCAATCAAAATCTATTTCTAATAATGCCAAAGAAGTATAACTTCTTACGCGCGTACATAAGTACACGCACCCTTTATTTTTTCTTACAGTAGTTGCCTGAAAATGATCGCTTGAAAGCTATAATGTCGCCAGTAGGTTCCTTTTTATTTAATTATTGTAATTGCACAGTATTTCAGTATTGCAACTTAGTGTTAATAAAGAAATATAATCGGCTATATTATCACTGATATAATATCACTGGATATATAATAGAAATACGTAAACAACAATTTTCATTTAGAAATGAAAATGATTCACGGTCTTAAGCCTCTACCGGAAGAGAGCTTAATTTACGAATGTCTTTGTTCCCTAAATATACGGATTTTGGTTCACGTTTGTATATTCTTGGGTAAAATTATCCATTATGCTCTGGTCCTCATTAAGAGACAATGGAAACAATATATGAACATTTTGTTTATTTACCAAAAACCTATTAACACCTTACCAGTGGCGCTACAACCTTTTTAGGTTTTTATTTATGTATCTGTTTACTGATCATTGGTCAATCTAATAGGCAAGTAGGTGATCAGCCTCCTATACACGCTGTCGACGATTGGGTCTAAGGTTTCATCACGTTTTCCTTTACCGTTCGAGCGAATGTTAAATGCGCATAGACAGAAAGTTTATTGGTGCAGAGTCGGGGATCAAACCTACGACCTGAGGGATGAGTCATGGGAGACGCTGAAGCCACTAGGCGAACACTAACATTTACACCTTAGTGACTAGTAAAGATATGAATACAAAATATAACAACATAATAAATTTAAAAAACAATCAACAGTTATAACTATCATTTTCCTATATTTTACAAAGAAAGTATTGAAATGTAGTAATAACAACTAGAAGAACATGATATGGTTTTTAAAAACATATGTATACCTTTATATATATCGTACTCGAATATTCAAGTTCGAGTTAAATATAAATTGCGAATATTTATGTAACTGTCAGTGCAAACGAGGGTTGACATCATATATTTATTCAGGTAATAAACAAAAACGGCAAGATGAACACTTAAATATAGCCTTTTCATAATGATTTTATATAAGAATTGTTTGTTTACGAAAGTGCGATACTAGGACAGATTGATGTATTTGGATTTCATTTGTATTGAATTATTGCGTAAAGACATTACTAAACGGAAATGTAAAATAAAATAAATTAATCAGTGGCGCTACCTTTTATAGGGCTTCAGATTTCTGTCTGTTTCGTGATCATTTGTCAATCTAAAAGCTAATTAGGTGATCAGCCTCCTATGCTTCACACACACCATCGACTTTTTGGCTCTAAGGCAAGCCGGTTTTCTCACGATTTATTCTATCACCGTTCGAGCGAATGTTAAATGCGCACATTGAAAGATAGACATTGGTGCACAGCCGGGCATAGAACCTACGACCTCAGGGATGAGAGTCGCTATTAACACCTTAGAAAAAAAAGATATGTATACAAAATAAAACCGCATTATTAATTTAAAAAAAAAACAATCACCAATTAATTTGCCATACACACAAATTTATTTATGTTAGTTACTCTGTTTATATATGGTTTAATAAGTTTCTAAACTATCATTTTACCTTGTAATATCCAATATACCTTGGAAAATAAGGACTTCATTCTACGTGGCTTTTACGTTAATTTACTAATGAGTTCGAGTGAAACAAATTACGATTGTGCTCTGTGAAACCTTTCAATGGATTAAATCTATGTCAAGTCTGCAACTGCATTACGTAATTTCAGGATCAGGCAAGCTGAATTTCGACTCATTTGTCCGAGTTGCGACCCACTTCTTGGATGAAGACGACGAAGCACTACAAAAGGAGCTTAAAGAAGCCTTCAGATTATATGACAAAGAAGGTCCGTATGTTTCAATTATCTTTATGGCTACTATGTACTACATATATACTACATTATTTCGACTATGTGTTTGCGTGTTGTTCCCACGAGAATGTAAGTGCGTGCTCCTATTTCACCATGCCTCCTGCTGATAGAGGAAAAGTCTTTGTTTTTAATTTATGTTATTATTATTAATTACTTAAGATGTCATGTGCAACATGGTGTAATGGTTGCAGCTCCTTACAAACGTTGTGTAAAAAAAAACATGGCGATTAAAAAGAGTGGCGGGGAGTTTATTGCCAGTTCTTCTCTTCCGTTCTACGCCCTTGATTTGTGAACTGGCAGTAAATGTAAAATTAGAAGCATTAATATGTATTTTTTAATGACGAATCACAAGTGTACATTGTGTTACCTACGTGAATAAATGATTTTTTGAATTTGAATTTGAATATGGAAAATTAGTTGTTATTTTTATAAAGCAGTGAATATGTTTAGTATTTTACAAGAACTTATTACGTGACTATTTTTAGGAAGTTGGAATCAATCACATCATAAGTTATAAATAGCCGTTCTGTATTTACTTTCTTTAATTACTTGTAATTTTAAGTATGATAGACAGTGTTAATGTGTTTTTTTTAAATCATCGATTAAACTATTTCACTGGTCGTAATGCTTTTTGACATGGAGATCAGATCAGAAAAACCGGCTAGATAACGTGAGACAACAATGTATATCACAGACAAATAAACATTTATATTGTATATGTCTCTACTCGTCATAAAAAGCACATTTCTACAAAATTTATGAAGATAGTTATATCTAAAATATATACCCGTTAATATATATTCCCAATAGCAACATACAATACATTTGAACTATAAAATTAAAGTGATTTATTGATATTACAACTAATAAATAACAATGAAAGCGGTTTGTTGAAATGAAACTAGCAATTTTATTTCACATTATTGCCGAGTGGGTGTAAAATTTAAACCAGTGAAATTCGTGGTCATCGAGATCTTAACAATTTAATATAGATTTATATTTGTATTTATTTATTTCCGTATCACTATGTACATGTTGTGTATATTTTATATATATAGCTATGCTGGTACCGCAGAAAAGAGCTTTTGTCTTACATATTAGGTTAGGTTATGGTAAAGTATTCTCTGCCGGTCTCAAGCGACCCTGAACCGCAGGTCTTGATTGAGCTTTATGTCAGATATAAGCCCGGGATATATTCCTTTGGGTTGAATGCCTTGGTGAACCCCGAGGGCCCATTTTGGGTCTCGCTACACCTCTGCTAGGGCTTTGAGTGTAGACCCAGCCTCACAGTCCCCGGGTCAAGCTCGACATTGCCTGCGTAAGCGCATTTTCACCTCATAAAAAATGGTAATAAATAAAAAAGGTAATAATAAATATGGTAATATTAAAAACCGTTTTAGTCTGGTCAATGGTCAACCTAGGTCTTTGTTGTATTATTATGTACGTTTCTTAAGGCAGTTTTGCCGCGCACCACCACTATGTGGAACCAGCTGCCCACTGAAGTATTTCCGAACCAATTCGACTTAGGGTCCTTCAAGAAAAGAGCGTGCCAATTCTTAAAAGGCGGGCAACGCACTTGTGAGCTTTCTGGCAATGTGTTTCCATGGGCGGCAGTATGACTTAACATCAGATGAGCCTCCTACCATATCATCGATACCTTATGTACCGAAAGAAAAAAATAATTTCCTTTATCTGTCATATTTTATAAAATATTACAAAAAATATTTCCATTTAAACCCACCCGATTACTTATTGGAATGGATAAAAACATTCTGGTTTAACATATTTTTTTATTCGAACATAATGTAACAGATTATCTAAAGTATATTAAATGTACTTACTTATACAAAAAAAGTTATATTTAAAAACATCTAATCTAAAAATACATTTTCATTTGAAACAATATGACTTTCTCTTCATAGTTCGCTGAGTAAAGTTTATTTTTATTACGATTCCTTTGATAGCCTTTGTTGTACGAAGTATTTTAATAATGCCGCGGTATTTTATCTTACTGAATACAATGTATTTTTAATACTTATGATGAGTCGGATTAAAAAAGATGCTCTACGCATTTGTGGCTACATTGTGTGAATTACGTGCAGTTTTTTAATTAATTGAGACCGCAAATAGCTTAGATAAAACGTTCCGTGGGTATATTAGATTCCTGCCGAAATATGACATATATTGGGAATTTACGATAAATCAAACGAACTACCAAGTTTGTAAATCTACTAAATAGAATAAGAAGTACACGTCGAAATGGTAACCTCTTTCGGTTTTTTCGAAGTAGGTTTAAAGTAGTTTAAACTGTGAAATACTTTACGAACTTATTTTATATATTAGTAAATTGTTTTTAAAGAGCAGTGTTGGCCTAGTGACAGCGTGCGACTCTCAGTCCTGAGTTCGTCGGGTCGATTAGATTCACAAATGATCATAAAACAGATAACGAAATCTGAGGCCCCTGACCAGAAAAGTTGTAGCACCACTGAATTTTTATAAATGGTTTTCAACAACCACACACGATATCGACTACGTAACTATGTTAAAAATGAGCTATTATCCAAAATATACTGATTAAAAAAATTCCAACTCAAAAACGACTGAAACATGAACACAATAATATTTCATACAATTTTGACAATGTAATATGACTTTTGTGTTTCGACATTCGAAGTTTAAATAATCTGCCAAATGGTCCTAGCATAAATGTTTTAGCGCCTAATTTTCATTTTCAGCAGAAGCTTTTAACCAATGTATCGAGAAAATCCATTAAGCAATCTGCATCATTCAACAATGTGCTTACGAATTTAATTCCGGCAATCCGAAATGACGTGGTGCACCTTACTTATGGAAAATGTTTTCAAAATTCGAATTTATTCATTTGTTTAAACTCTTTGGATTTGTCCATGATACCTACAAGTTTCATATTTTACTTTACTTGTAATTATAGGGAAGTTCAACATACAATATATAGATATTCTTTTGTTTTACGAATTGGTTGGCTGAGTAGCTTCAATCCCAGGCTGTGGTAGCTGTGTGCAATTAATATAATGCTCGAACGGTGAAGGAAAACATCGTGAGGAAACCGGCTTGCCATAGACCCAAAAAGTCAACGGTGGTCAGGCACAGAAGACTGATCACCTACTTTAGGATTGACAGAACAGGTACAGAAATCTGAGGACCAGACCTAAAAAGGATGTAGCGCCATTTATTTTTACGGACTTGGATTTTACTATTTTTTTTTTTATATTATGTAGGTAATGGATATATTCCTACATCAAGTCTCCGCGAGATCCTTGCAGCGTTGGACGATCAGCTGACGTCAGACCAGCTCAATGAAATGATAGCTGAAATCGATACAGACTCATCAGGCACCGTGGACTTTGATGGTTCGTTTTAAAAGCTTTCTTAAAGTAAAACCCTGGACCTTTCTTGGGATACGTCAGAAAACGGAAACTACTAAAAATAAGGCACAGTTTAAGAAATTTAAAGACTACTCAATACGTAGTCATCTATCTATCTATCTATCTATCTATAGTCATCATCATTGATTATTATTGACATAGCAACAGTAAGTTCGCGTAATATGTGTCTATGGGCGGTGGATATCATTTTTAATGTGATATGCTTACCTCCAATATAATAATTTGTAAGAAATAGCACTGTCTTAAGAATTTTTGTTCTGAAATTTTAAAAATTTAGCAAATGCTTGAAATTTTTACATTTGTGTTTCATGGATATTTGTGTTTTGTGTCTAAATTTCAATGTGTGTATATACAAACCGCTTCTGATTGAAGTATAATACAAGTTTAAATTCTTAAAATGGTTCAATTTAAATGGATTTTAAATAAAAATACTATATATCTAATTTAAAAAATGGCCACTGCTGATATGCAAAACGCAATACTCGAAATTATAATTTGAAAATGTAACATATTGATTTGAACTATTCCTAAACTATAATAATATAGTTTTCACTGTATGTTAGATGCATGTCGAAATCATAAATTATATTATTTTTCAGAATTCATGGAAATGATGACTGGTGACTAAGACGAGCGATAAAAAAATATACAAAAACATATGATTTATGTAGACCTAATAAAGTACTGTATTGTTGCAATAAATATTTTGTTATTTTATATGTTTCTTTACAACTTAAACAATAATAACGAAATCTTATTTTATTTCAGTATTTTACTAAATATGTGAAACTTCGAAATTTATTATAAATAACAATATTTCTTTCTTGGCGAATGCTTTAAGGTATCTGCAGTGAGGCTATGGAATTGAATTCCGTCCCTATTCGCTTAGCTCCTTCTCTATCTTCCTTTATCTCTACTGTACAAACATTATCTGTCCACATCGTATCCCTAACTTTCATATAAACTAATGTAAATCTGATCTAAATTATCGTGATTTATGTGCACTTTTTTTTAAGTTTAGTTTTTTTTTCCTGATTTAGTTTTTGTCTACCTTACCTATTTTATTTTTTTATTTTATTGGGTCGCTCGAAAGCGGTAAGGCCGGTTGCCCTCCTTTTCATTTAATTATGTCAATTGTATTATAATTTTGTATTCAACGAAGTGTTAATAAATAAATATTTATAGGATATTCTGTGATAAGAGCATATTAAATTATCTAATTTTTCTTCTATTCTCTCCTATCCGTATAAAAGATATCCATTCCGAAGCGAAATAAAAAAAGTCACCGAAGCCACGCTCACAGTAATGTAAAAAATTCATTTAAACAGGATTTTTCAGGCAGAGCTTTGCACTAAACCAGTCGCGCTTTTTTAATTTAATTTCACGTGCAGGTGCATTTTTATTTCTCGTAGCTTATATGTGTTAGCTTGATCGTGTGATTCTTTCTATGTGCACTATTGACAACTTTAAAGGAAAACATCGAAATAGCATACTTTCCATCCAAGATCCATTTCGATCTGCTTGCGGTTAAACAAAAGAAAATGTAATTACAAAATCTGAGGCCAAAACCAGGTTGTAGTGGCACTCCTTTTTTTTAACAGTGTCCTATCCAAAGAACAATGTGTAAAGTAATACACATTTCGAGAGTGCGTTGTCGGCCTTCAAATCAACATTGCGTTCCAAAACAAAGTAATGTTACTACTATAGGAATCGCTTTTGTTTGGTTTTCGATTCGATTCTGGAAGCAGAGAATAAATCAAACAACGAAACCACGAGTTTTAGTGCGATTAGACAAACGGCTATGACATGTCACGTGTAAACGGATAGACTAGAGATACTGTTGACCAATCACAAACAAACGAAGCACGAATTCGTTTCGTTAAAACTTCTCACCCCCTGTTCATTTTACATCTATCGAAAATTCTAAAAACCAATTTACATTTGTAGCATATTTCATGTTCAAATATATTATATATACGTAATTACGATTTATATTTAGGTACACTGTACCTGATTTAATGTTCGTTTCAAATCAAATTTGAAGACGCAATTGTCGATATATAGCTTGCAAACCTTCCACTACCGGCACTTAATATGACGATAAATGCAATCGGTTTTACAAACTAAAGTAAGCATTCATAAGATATATAGAACACCATTCGGGGGTTTGTATTAAGTAGGTTTGTAGGTCAAAGGACGCGATTTCGATCGCAACCAGTAGGATTTATAAAACATCGATGAGACAAGAGTTTCGAGTTCTTTAAACTGTAGTAAAAGATACAATTTATTATAAGCCCTTGCTCATATAACTTTCAGGCACTTGCGAGCCTTCTGGCAATGTGAGTGTCCATGGGCGGCGGTATCACTTTACATCAGGTGAGCCTCCTACCCGTTTGCCTCCTATTACATAAAAAATAACTTGTTTTTAAAGCACTTGTTTACACTATGTGGAACCAGCTGCCCATTGATGTTTTTCCAAACCAATTCGACTTAGGGTTATTGACGAATAGAGCGTACTAATTGTTAAAAGGCCGGCAAACCATCGCGACTCTTCTGGCACTGTGAGTGTCCATGGGCGGCAGAATAACTTAACAGATGGCCCTCCTGTCCCTTTTGTATGAAAATAAATATTAGGTCCTTACATATGAAATTGGCGTATTTCGTACTGGCCACTTTAATCACGATGTTCTCCTCTTTGGTAAGGAATACCAAATTCAAATTTGTACAGCTATTTACTCATGTATTTGTGCTTCGATGACCGTCATTCATTTGTATTTTTTTTCTTCTGTTTTTTTCTGTTTGCGTCACTCATTTTACAAAATGGAAAACTTAAAGTATCGCATTATTTACGAGTACGAGTTCCGCCGTGGCACTAGTGCGGCGGAAACGACTCGAAGGGTGAATGATGTGTATGGCGGTCATGTTGCAAAAGAAAACACAGATCGTTTTTGGTTCCAACGTTTTCGTTCTGGAAATTTTGACCTGCAGAACAAGCCCCGTGGACGGCCTGAGACCCAAGTTGATAATGAAGTATTGAAGGCTATTGTGGAAGCGGGATCCATCGCAAACCACGTTCGAGTTAGCTGCAGGCTGCGGTGTTAGTGATAAAACTGTTTTAATTCACTTGAAGCAAATTGGGAAGATTATAAAGCTTGAAAGATGGGGGGGGGTACCTCACGAATTGACTGAAGCAAACCGGCAAACGCGCGTCGACTGCTGCGTTACATTACTGAACCGGCACAATAATGAAGGTATTTTAAACCGAATCATTACCTGTGATGAAAAATGGATTCTTTACGATAGTCGAAAGCGCTCAGCGCAATGGTTGGATCCTGGCCAGCCAGCAAAATCCTGCCCCAAGCGAAAATTAACCCCAAAAAAGTTACTTGTAAGCGTTTGGTGGACTAGTGCCGGTATTGTTCATTGCAGTTTTCTCAAATCTGGCCAGACTATACGGCTGATGTCTATTGTCAGCAATGGTTTGCACCATGATGGAAAAGCTAGCGGCTAAACAATCGCTCCACGCCACTGCTACTTCACGACAACGCTAGACCTCACACTGCACAACAGACGGCTACCTAATTAGAAGAGCTTCAATTGGAATGTGTAAGACATCCTCCGTACTCCCCGGGCCTTGCTCCAACAGATTACCATTTTTTTCGAAATTTGGACAACTTCTTGCAAGGGAAAAAATTTAACTCTGATGGGGCAGTCCAAATCGCCTTCACAGATTTTATTGATTCCCGTCCGACTGGTTTTTTTAGTAAAGGGATCAATGAACTACCTATGAGATGGCAAAAGTGCATAGAAAACAATGGTTCATACTTTGATTAATTAAATATATTATATTTAAAAATATTCGACTTTTTGTTCCTCCCATACAATATTAATATATTAATATTAATTATAATTCGTTTCGTAATTTACAAGTAAATTATTGATTAGTTAGCCAAGAATAAGAATTATTTACATTCAATTATGTTCTAAAACCCTTTCAATGTAATAAAAGTTAGGCACTTACCAAGTTTTTAACAAAATTCATTTATAATTAAAAATTTCAAGAAAAGTCATACCACCACCACTCGCTTCAGCGTGCGACCTACATCCTTGAGGTCGTAGGTTCGATCCCCGGCTGTGCACCAATGGACTTTCTTTCTATGTGCGCATTTAGCATACGCTCCAACGGTGAAGAAAAATATCGTGAAGAAACCGCTTTGCCTTAGACCAAAAAAGTCGACGGCGTGTGCGAGGCACAGAAGGCTGATCACATACTTGATTATTAAATTGACAAATGATCATGAAACAGATATAGAAATCTGAGGCCCAGATTAAAAGAGGTTGTAGCGCCACTAATTATACAGATTTTTACGTCATAATAAAGATATGGGATAAATAGACGGGAATCGAGAGCGGAATATTAAAGCGGTCATTTAAGTTCTATTTGGGAAAGAGAAGGAACATACGAAAAAAGACAGAGACTCTATGTTAAAGGTAGCAGTAATTTCTTTAAGGTATGTACTATGTACCTATATTAAATATATTAATAAGCCCACGTACTAAAACTATCAGTTCTGTTTCCTTTACATACTCCAATTGTGCTTCATATAGCTATAGAAGTGTTATTTGCGCCTGCGTCTGTTTTCTGTAATATTTTCCATGTAAATGGCCAGTATTAATTGAAACTGGAATGAATCTTGAGGAGTTTGTTACATAATAAGACGCTATGACAAAATGTACTTTGGTAATATGGATTGTGTATGTACCTATATTTTTCCACCTTGTATTATTAGTAATTAAATTTGTATGAAATTTATTTACACCTGGTGTGTTTCTCACCCGACGTATAGGAAATGCTGTCAGCATGGGAGAAATGTTTTAAAATAAATTGTAGTTTTTTACTATTTTGCTGAGGATATTGTTATTGTGTTGTGAGTACAGTTGAATCCGTTTATAATGACATCGAAAGGAATTGACAAACACGTCATAATAGACGCCATACGTTTTGTGAAAAAAAAAACCTTTTTTATGTAAATATGTATGTACTTCAGTATTTTAATAGAGAAACATAGTAACTACATATGTATACATACATATTAAATCAAAATAAAAATTTCTCGTAATAAGTACATTATACACAAACTTATTTTTTAATGTAAGTAATCTGTAGTTTTTGTCTGCTTTTGTTTTTGCATTTGATTGCAAAAACTCTAATTATCTTATAGAAGACAACGCTATGGTCAAATTATCATTGTCAATATTGCTATGAACAAATCGTGATAATAATGTAATAAAAATGAGTTATAATAAGCGACATGTCGCTGTAAGGGAAGTCATTATATGAAAACTAAACTTCGTAGTGTACGTCATAATAATCGTTTCGTCAATATAGGCGAAGTCATAATAAACAGATTCTACTGTATTATCAAATTTCTCTCATAAACTTTAAACTTACCTTCATCTACATCTACTGCGCTACAGGTGACTGACATGAAAATCTAGTAACCATAAGAAACTGCTAAATAAAACAATAAGATGTAAATGGCCAGGCATGATCAAGCGTTGTCATTACCTGACTTACACTCCTAAAGCTACTGGTGCTAGCGCTCCGGGCCTGCAAGAAGAAACATT